AAGACCAAAGACCAGCACCTCTTGCCCGGAAAAATCTGGACAACTGATGGCACTGCCCTAAACCCTAAACCCTAAGCCTAAACCCTAAACCCTAAACCCTAAACCCTAAACCCTAAACCCCAAACCCCAAACCCCAAACCCCAAACCCCAAACCCCAAACCCTAAACCCTGGGCTCACGTGGCCTCCACCATGGAAAGGGCTTCGCGGCAGGAGCGGGCAGCTGAAGCTGTGGCTCGTACGGGCATGGTGCTTCTCCTCTCAGGGCTCCCCAAGTAGGGTTTTTAGGGCTTTGGGATTTTTAGGGTTTAGGGTGTTTAAGGTTTAGGGTTTTACGGTTTAGGGGTTTTAGGGCTTAGGGGTTTTTAGGGTTTAGGGTTTTTAGGGTTTTGGCTTTAGGGTTTTGGCTTAGGGTTTAGGCTTTAGGGTTTAGGCTTTAGGGCTTAGGGTTCAGCAGCTCTGGGTCGAGCAATCTCTAGTAGAGCCGCTGTCGGGACTCGAGAAAAAACCCACCCACCCAGAGAATCCCAAAACATTAAAAAATATACAAGTTTTTTTTCGTCAGCAATCCCTGTCCTCCAACCTCATTTATTCATTCTGCTCGTGTTCTTTGTCATTCTGCTTGGTTTCCATTCTGCTCGTATGCGTTTCTTTCTGCTCGTATTCATTCTGCTCGTATTCGTTCTTTTTCTGATCTGCTCGTCTCGTGTTCGTTCTCGTTCTGCTCGTATTCATTCTGCTCGTATTCGTTCTCTCTCTGCTCGATTTCAGTCCGCTCGTTTTCGTTGTCTTTCTTCTCGTATTCATTCTGTTCGTATTCGTTCTCTCTGCTCGATTTCAGTTTGCTCGTCTTCGTTCTCTCTCTGCTCGTAATCATTCTGCTCGTATTCGCTCTCTTTCTGCTCATATTCCTTTTGCTCGTGTTCGTTCTCTTTCTGCTCGTATGCGTGGTCTTTCTGCGCGTAGTCGTTCTCTCTCTGCTCGATTTCAGTCCGCTCTCGTACTCAGTCTGCGCGTATTCGTTCCTTTCTGCTCGTATTCATTCTGCTCGTATTCGTTTTGCTCGTGTTCGTTCCTTTCTCCTCGTATTCGTGCTCTTTCTGCTTGTATTCGTTCTGTTCTCTCTCTGCTCGATTTCAGTCTGCTCGTTTCGTTCTGCTCGTATTCGTTCTCTCTCTGCTCGTAATGATTCTGCTCGTATTCGTTCTCTTCCTGCTCATATTCATTTTGCTCGTGTTCGTTTTCCCCGGTGACCCTGCCAATTTTTGGCCGTCTCGTTGGTTGTTTTGGCACACTTTAAGCTGCCTGGCTTCCACATGGTTGCTTTCCAACTAGTGCCCCGGTGACCTCGCCTCATGTTGGCTCCTGTGTCTGAAAGTTGCCCGGTGACCGTGTGGCTCTTTGTGGCTCCCACCCCGACCCAGGTTGCCAACCAGAATGGGCCTGCGTGCTCGTAGGGTTTGATGAGAGGCCTAGAGGTTTGTCGTATGTCCCCTCTTTTCGTGCTCGTAGGATTTGTCTTATGTCCCTCCCTTCGTGCCGGTAGGGTTTGATGAGAGGTCTACAGGTTTGTCGTACGTCCCCTCCCTTCGTTCTCTTAGGGTTTGTCGTGTGTCCCCTCCCTTTGTGCTCGTCATTTTTGTCGCATGTCTCTCTTCGTCTGCTTGCAGAGAATCCCAAGAATTAAGAAACTGAGGTAGGGTTTGTCGTATGTCCCCTCCCTTCGTGCTCGTAGGGTTTGATGAAAGGCCTACAAGTTCGTCGTATGTTTCTTCCCTTCGCGCTCTTAGGGTTTGTCGAATGTCCCCTCCCTTCGTGCTCGTCGGCTTTGTCGTATGTCCCTTTTGAAAAGGTTTCATTTTAGAGGTGTGTCGTATGTGCCCTCCCTTCGTGCTCGTAGGGTTTGATGAGAGGTCTACAGGCTTGTCGTACGTCCCCTTCCTTCGTGCTCTTAGGGTTTGTGTATGCCTCCCTTCGTGCTCGTAGGGTTTGTCGTATGTCCCCTTCCTTCGTGCTCGTAGGGTTTGATGAAAGGTCTACAGGTTCGTCGTATGTTTCTTCCCTTCGCGCTCTTAGGGTTTGTCGAATGTCCCCTCCCTTCGTGCTCGTCGGCTTTGTCGTATGTCCCTTGTCTTCGCGCTTGCTTCCCCAGACCGAAGGTAGAACCAAAAGTGTTGGTCCGGATTGACCAAAAAACCCTAATTTTGTTAACCTCATGTTTTGTGTTCCCCCGCCCCACCCTCGAACCATTCCAGTTCGAGCCAATCTCCAACCCACCCTAGAACCAACTAACCGTATTCGTTCTCTCTCTGCTCGTATTTCTCTGCTCGTCTTCATTCTGCTTGTGTTCGTTCTCTGTCTGCTCGCATTCCTGGATTTTCAGAGCTTGATGGGGCGCTGGTTGCTCACTTTCTGATTTGGGTTTAGGGTTTAGGTTTAGGGTTTAGGGTTTAGGGTTTAGGGTTTAGGGTTTAGGGTTTAGGCTTTAGGGTTTAGGGTTTAGGGTTTAGGGCTTAGGGCTTAGGGCTTAGGGCTTAGGGCTTAGGGCTTAGGGCTTAGGGTGTAGGGTTTAGGGTTTAGGTTCCCCCCCCCCCCCCAAAAAAAGAACTCCCAAACGGGGAATAGACTTCCTCTCCTTGGCCGCGATGAGGTTCAGGGCCTTCTGGCCCCCGAGGCCCAGCCCTTGCATCCCTTGCCCGGCGTGCCGCCGGCGCAGGGCCTCCCAGAAAGCGCCCGCACGCAGAAGGGAAAAAAGAAAGGCAAAGGCAAAAGCATCAAAAGCAGCAAATGCACAAAATCAAGCAATACTAGCTCAACAATACTAAAGGCTACTAAGCTACTATAGGCAGCTCTGCAAGAGTCGCCAAGTTGCCGGCCTCCTGCACTCTTCCCGACACTTGTGAAGGGCTTGGGCCTACAACGGTCCAAGCCAAGCACCGCTTCTCACTGAATTCACTGAAGACATCTGAAGACGCTTCACAGGAGCCTTTCGAAGCTGACCCCCTCGCTTCACGTGGAGGAGACAAGGGCTCCTGTCCCACAAAGCGCGGGGGGGGGGGGCAGGGGCGTCCAAAAAGAGCCTTTAAAAGCAACGACTGAAAACGCACCGCGAGGCCTGAGCCGGGCCATCCACGGGGTTGAAGCGAAGGACCTGCTTCTACCGCTCGTCTCGTCTACCGCTCGTCTGCCCCGCTGGTCGGGTTTGCTGGGGTGCTCGGCAGGCAGTGCTGACCAGCGCTGGTGCGGGTCTTTCTCCTGACATGCTCAAACTCCCGAGCGGCTGCACTTCCCGGCTCTCTCACTTCTCTCTCCGCTTGAAAACCGGGGGCGGAGAAGCACTCCTGCAGCGCCCTTCCGTCAGAGAAGGAGAGGGGAGCCCCAACATCCCCCCCCCAAATGACCTCTCTCTCTCTCTTCCACTAGAGTTTTTCGAATCCCCCCCCCCACTGATCTCTCTTTTTTTTGGGGGGGTCACTCTTTTTTTTTCGAAGTCTCTACAGTGATCCCTCTTTATATTCTACCTTCTGAGATTTCTGAACTCCTCGAGGATGCCCTTGCGGCGGCTCCAGGAGGCGCCCTCCAGGCAGAGGCCCGCGAGGAAGACGCCTCGAAGGAAGGGGAAGCAGCGCCCAACCGCTCTCCCAATTTTCACTAAAGAGCGAGGGAGAGTGAGAGATGGGGAGAGAGCTAGAGAGAGAGAGAGAGAGAGAGAGAGAGAGAGAGAGAGAGAGAGGGAAAGAAAAAAAAAGAGAGAATGAAGAAATGTACATGAAACAGAACACTCCCACTCAGGGCATTCGCTCTCTCGCTCTCTCGCTTTCTCGCACCTTCGAAGGACGTGTCAATCAAAGCGTGGTCCGCCTGGAACTCACGCCGCGCGAGTGATTTGAGTCCTGCTCACCTTCTGCGACCCCCCCCCTTCTGCCTTCAACTGCTGCCGGACCTGCGGCAAGTGTGCGACGACTTTTGTGAGGAGGATTTGTGACACGATGTTAGCGACTGGCAATGCACAGCACAATAATTGAACCTGCAGGTGATCTAGAGGGGATTCGGTGAATACCATATAGAGGTATGTTCCTTCCAGAGGCCCGGTGTGAGTGCTTCCGGCCTCTCAGCACATAGCACGTCAATTCAACTCAACTGCCCAGGCAAAGCTGAAAACTCTCGGTTCCCGGTCTCCAGCGCGTTAACTGTATCCACTGTATCCCTGAGGGAAGCTGACAGAAGGACCTTCATGATGATAGCATAGCATCCTTTACACGAACTCTATTTCATTGGGCTTTCACGCGTGCCTTGTAAAGCCCAGTGCGTCTTATAGGGTCTTTGGGGGAGAGAGCGGTTCACCTTTGCATTTCCTTTCGTCCACCATCAATCTCATGACACCTTAACTGCCCAAGAGTCCGTCCACGATGATACGATGGGACCAAGATCTGAGTGCTCGGGTCTCAAGATGTGATAGGGCGACAAATGAAGGACAATCTACGAGAAGTGGCCAACGAGCATTGCTTCATCCACTCCCGAGCAAACTCGCTGATAAGGTCAGCAAAGCGATAGAAAGCGCATGAGACGCACGGACCTTCTCCATCAAGCTCATCACAGTCAAGAAAAGCCGACAAAAAGCTAAGGAAAAGTCTGCAGAGTCTACACATCGCATGGAGTGCCTTCAACTTGGCAAGGGCAGCTGCTTGGGGTGGCCTCCTCTTCGGTTGAGAGTAGATGTTCTACCCGGTGCTCAAAGTGCATCCTGCAGCGAAGTACAGGGTTGAGACCTCTAGCCCAGCAGCGTTCTCGGCGACCACCAACCTCGCCACAGAGGATCGCCGCAGGCGGGCGGTGCCGCGGAGAACGGCTATCAGAAAGCCTCCAAGGGGCTCAGGACAAAACAGCACAAACGGGAACAAAGCCAGCAACAAAAGAATGGACAAGGAGGAAAGTTGTCATGCCGAGCGCATGGCCCTTGGGATTCAAGAAGTTGGACAGATAGAAGCAACACGGGGCCTGCTCACGTGCCGCATGGCCGCAGCCGCATAGAGACTTGCAAGAAAATGCATGGCGCCTTTCCGCTGCGGTCCCATGCACGGAGCGAGCCGACACGTCGTGACAGGTCCTCGTACCGCGAAGGTTTTGTCTTCCGCATTCTTCCGCTGCGGGCTAAGGACTCTTTTAAGTCCTCCTTCCAAGAGGACAAAGTGCTGCGAGAACCCACCATCCTCTGGCTCAGCTTCAGCTCAGATGGCCCATGTGGCTGATTGTCACTGGGCCATGCGCTGTTCCATCCACGCCGCTGGCACGCGGCCGGCGCACAGCAGTTCCTGAAGAGCCTGGCATATGCCATCTGGAAGCCGCGGCGGACTCGGGCTCTCCGAGCTCTGTCCTCCACTTCATCGAAGAAGGATTGGCCTGCCAGGATGGGCATCAAGAACCAAATTAAGGGGAGAAGGGGCTGGAGGGGCCTAGGAGGGGCCTAGGAGGGGGCCTTCCAGGTGGGCCACCAAGGACTCCAGGTCTTGGCGTGCTCGTTGCAAGAGCCGGGCTGCTTGGAGCAACTCGCGCTGCAGGAAGTTGTTCAGCGAAGTGACCACCGGGCGCGGCATCTCCTCGTCCTGCGTACACAACAACTTGCAGCAATATTCGGCAGCATTGCAAACTTTCAGCATAGGAACGGTCACTTGTGTCTTGCCCTTGTCATGGCCCCAACACAGCTTTGAAGATGTGTGCTCTGAGCGCAATTGCCAGACAAGCTCAGGCGCCCGCGGCGGCGCACGCACACTCACGCGCGCACGCGCACGCAAGCGCCCACGCTGGCGGTTGGGCTGCGCACCAGGTGAACCGCGCTCTGAACCCTCTCTGTGGTCAAGGTTTCGGGAGTCGCGCGCCGGGCGCCGGGTGCACCGCGCTCTAGGGGGGCTGGCGGTTGGGCTGCGCGCCGGGTGTACCGCGCTCTGAAACCTCGCTGTGGCCGAGGCTTGGGGTCTCTGGGGGCTGGCGGTTGGGCTGTCCACCCGGGGTACCACGCCCACGTTGCTGTGGCCGAGGTTTGGGGTCTCTAGGGATCGTTTGCAGGAGCCGAACTCCGATGCTGCGGGGGGTTCCAGGCTGCGGGCCCCTGCCAAAAAAAACTCTTCGTCAAACATCCCCATTTGGACTGGGACCTGCACCCGCGTTGGGCCGGCCCAGCTGCCGAGGCGGAGCGCGCAAGCGTTTACAATGAAAACAACTCTTTTGTTTCATACAAATTGTACGTACATAACGTACTGATTCTCCGAACCAAAGGCAAACCTTGCCCAACAGCTCCTCAGAGCTGTCGCTGCCACTGCTGCCTGCGGGAGAATGCCTGGCCGTTGGCAGCTCCTGGCGGCTTTCGGCGGCTTTCGGCGCTCCCTCTCAAAAAAGAGGAGCCAATTTTCCGCAGCTTTGCTGCAGCTTTGATCACAAGCTTTGAGCCTGTCCTCGAGGAGGTGGACGGCCAGCTTCAACCCTTCGCCTTGCTTTGTGCTTGTGTGCAAAAAGAAAGGAGGACATCTGGCCTGTTGCGTTGGCTTCGGCGCCTGCGGCTTCGGAGTCCCAGGAAGCCTTAGGGGACAAGAGGGGGGGGGGGGGGGGGACCCCGAAAACACTCGATCATGGCACACTCATTGCACACTGCCGTCTTCTGAAGATTTTCTGGACAGATTGTCACTGAGCCGGCCACAGGCACACGGGCAAGGGCATCCGTCGATTTCTTCACCAGTCGCAGCAGCTGAGACGAACCATTCTCTGCCTGGACCACGAGTCAGCTCAAGACCCCAATTGAGGAACCAAACACTTGCCAAGGCTTCTCAAGCCACTTCTTTCTCCAGGGGCTTGTCACGGCCTGTTGGATGCTCATTGTGCTCATGTCCTCAGTCTGACCTTTAGCGGCGACACTCGCACCGTGAGAAGCGCAGTCCCCCCCCCCCCCCCCCAAAAAAAAAAAAGACCCACTGCGCACCGTGAAGAAGCGCAGTACCCCCCCCCCCACACAAAAAAAAAAAAACAGAAAATCTCGTCGAATCTCCGGGCTTGCGGCCAAGGAAATCCAAGGCCGACTCAAAGCTCGCGGTGGCAAAGTTCGGGGGGGGCACCAGCATCGCCTCTCACTCGCTCGCATCCTCCCCCCCTCTTAAGCAACTCTTAAGCCTTCCATTTTCTCAGCCTTCGCATTACTCTATTGCCCTACGCCTTCCGGCCCTACTCTACTCAGCCCTACTCTAACCGAGACTCTACTGCCCTACTCCTGCTTACCACTCTACTGAGCTCTTTCCCCCCTTCTTGCGTTTCCTCCATCGGCAAATCCAAGCTCCTGGCCTTCGTCGTCGGCCTTATGATCGGAAGGAGAACAAAAAAGTTTGGAACAGTTTGGAAACAGAAGGTAAAGTGCGAGAATAGGAGGTCTGAAAAATGGAGAAAAGGAAAAACAATGTAAAACGAAAAACAAGGAGAGGCAAGCAAGGGGAACTCTATGGAACTCTTCATAACTCTTCTCTCCTCCTCAGGCTCGCTCCCCAGTGGTTCTGAGCTCCGCGGCTCGCGCAAGGCCTGGAAGAGGGTCTCCAGGCATCGCAAGGGCAGCTCCCCGGCAAAGGCGGAGTAGACCACCTCACAAAACAAAGAACAAGGCGTTCGCGCCTTCTCAGCGGGGGGGGAGAGACGGGAGAGAGAGCAGAGAGAGAGAGAGAGAGAGAGATGAAAAGGCAATGAAGAGAAGCATCCCGTCACATCCCGTCCTGGGTGAGGTGGTAGCAGAGCTCGGCGAGGAAGCGAGACCCCTGAGGCCAGCGCATGAATTTGTCAATTTTTGCAAAGCCCCCAAATGGTCTCCCGCGGCTCTACTAGAGGCAGCGTTCTGCGTGCTTCTCCGCTGCTTCTCTGGAGTCTGAATCTTGGCGGCTTCGCGCTGGTCAACGCAATGTCGGAAGTTGCGGTCTCTCGTCTTCGCTTCGCTTCGCTTCGCTTCGCTTTGCTGGGATCCCCTGGGCCGCCCCCTCCTTGGGAGCAGCTCACTTCCCCCCACAAAGAGAACACTGCCAAGTGGAGGCACATGAAGGGTGCAGAATCTGAAGCTGTACCCGAAAAGGAAGACTCACGCTCTAGGAAGCCCTTCGTCCGGCAATCCTGCTCAGACCGGGAAATCTGTAATTCGAAGGCAGATCGTGGATAGAGCAAAGGCCACGAGAGGTCAACTCTCCCTTTGCTTCGTTTTGCCTTGCGCCGCTTGGGGGACCCGCAGGCTCCCTTCCAAGAGCAACCAAAACCAAACCTTTGCTTGCTTTGCTTTGGTGTTCTTTTGAGGCCCTTTCCGAAGGCATCGGCACAAGATGCACAAGGAGATGAGGCTGTGCAGGCACGCTGAACCCCCAACCACGCCTCGAGCTTCCTGAGTCTCAGAACTCTTTTTGTTTGGAAAAACTCTGACTCTGCAAGACAATGAAGAACTGCCCCAAAGCCCGCGGCTGATCACAGAGATCCTCGAAAAGCTGGACTGCCATGTGGAAAGTCAACTCCTTGAGGATGCAAGTGGGGCTTTTCACTGCAAGGTGTTGAGAGCGTGCTTTTGGTCCTGATCACAAGAAGGGTGTTCTTGAAGCAGTGCCTCCAGGACATCTGCACTCCACTTGGAGTGGCAGTGAGTGGCACCTAATTGCACCTTTGCACGGCCTGGAAACGAACCAGGGCCACCAACAAGAGCCGACCCTGGGGCAGACGGCGCAGACCGCAGCCAGCTCTCCGTCACGTGACGCTACACTGTGGGCTACACTGTGGGCTACACTGTGGGCTACACTCTGCTACACACTGCTACACACTTCCCGGCACTGGTGTCAGCGCCTGCTCGTGGCTCGCGCAGCTGTCCCAGAGACGCAGGACATCCTGCTCGCAATCTTCTCTTTTGGAGTTGGAGAGCTGGTGTCTAGGGCAGCTTAAAAACTGCAGTCGAGGCCCGTCCTTGCCCTTCCCTCCTTTGTCTGCCTTGTCTCCCTTGTCTCCCTTGTCTCCCTCTTTGGACATGGCTCCTGCGAGACTTGTTCTCGGAGGGAAAGGGAAGAGGTGCCAAACTTGCCCCGCTCCGGCGCTCGGCTCCTGCTCGCTGTAGCAGCGCTTTTGCTCCTCTTGGCAATTCCCAGGCCACCCGGACCTCAGACAAAAGAAGACACCGGAAGTCTCTACACAGCATAGGCCTTTTCTCAGCTGTGGCTGCGGCACATTTCAAGACCAAGGAAGCTGGACACACGGAACAAGGCAGCGCGGACAGAAAGAGCCGGAAACCCGGAAGCGCAGAGCCCTGCGAGCGATCGAAGAAGTCCGGGCCATCCTGACCAGGGAGTCGAAAGCCCATCTTTGGCGCCAGTCCGTAGTCAGTCCGTCGTATCCGCAGCCCCCTCTCCGAACGTCAAGTCACAACCTCTACACTCTACACATCATCAAATTTCATTCTGACCGCCCCCCGGCCCACATCAAATCTTGAACCGCCTGATCGTCAGGCCTGTGGGTCGTGCTTTCATACGTCCTATGAGGATATGAACAGTTGAGGAACTCAAAGGGAAGCACAACTGCGACGGCCCAAGATTATGAGCGAAGCCACCGCATGCCACCGCTGCCAAGCCCGCACCGAAACTAGCTGTTGGACAACCCCGCCCACGGTCAAGGAGAACGAGTATCTTGACTGCGGGAGCAACACCGCGAAAAAAACATGTACAATTCTGATTCAAACTGAACCTAGACTGCCAAACACCTCAAAGGAATGAATCGCTTCCACTTTCTGGTCGCGCGCTGCGCCCTCGGCGTTTGGCATGTGGCCAGGCCTGTTCCCACGCAACTCGTCCGCGTGGAACCATTCAAAATCGCGTGAGGCTGTGGTGCTGTCGCCGTGGCGCGGTGCGCATATGGCTCGTGGAACGGTGGAGCACCTCTCTGAGGGACTCGAGCAGTTCAAACCCTTACTGTGACTGCGCAATCACGGGTGTCCTGCCTGGCCAGACTTCGACGTTAACTTCTTGAGTCTCCCTGCGCAAGCGGGCCCCACTTCAAGTTGCCGATCGTCTGCTCCGAGCCGCTGCATACGCAAAAAAGAAGAATACAGGGACTTCGAAAGGCTTCGCGGGCTCCTAACAATGGAAGCTACCAAGAAGAAGCCTCCGCCCAGGCCGGAGTCGAAGAGACTTCCAGAGGCTTCCCGCTTCCCCTCTCGAAAAAAGTTCGAAGCCCTGCCATAAGCGAAGCCCAGACACAACTCCCGCAGGTTTTTCCCGAAGCTTTTGTACTCATTCACTCTTCTCTTCTTCTTCTTCTACCCAGCGAAGAGGCCTGCATGTCTCTCTCTCTCTCTCGTTCGTCCCTCTCTTGGCCTCCACGATGGTGGCCAAGAAGGCATCCAGCTGGGGCAGCCAAGATGGTACAAGGTGGACATGCTCAATCAGCAACCACCTGATGGCAAGGCTGGATTGCGGTACTGACAGTACTGATACACAATACCAATTACAGTACTGATACTATATGGCATGTATGGCTGGTGGATATGGAATGCTGGCACACCTGCCACGCTTGTGTGCATCCTGGACAGCGTGCAGCAGAGTGCCGCTGGCTGCTTGCCAGCGCCCCGCATTGATGACGCGCAGCTCCTCAAAAGACGATAAAAACGCACAACTTGGGACGCCTCCGCATGCCTCCTAGAAGCCTCAAAAAACTCCAACCACACCACGGAAAAATTGCCAAAAAGCGCACCAACTTCCTCCACACAAAGCCCCCCCCCCCACAAAGCCCCCCGCCCTGCCCCTCGCTTTTCTCTCTCCTGCTGCTTGGCACCGATGAACTGCTCGAGGGGCTGCGCCGCGGCCAGCTGCGCCAGCACCCGCGCGGGGTCCACGCCAAAGGCCGTCACCAACAGCAAAGGCCGGGACCTCGAAAAATCTCACACAGACTGCCTGCAAGGAACAAGGAATGCTGCCTCCAAAAGCAACACCCGGCTCTGCTCAGGTCTGCTCAGCTTCGCGCACGCCCTTCTTTGGCCTGGCCTCTCTTCGCCGTCTCCGAGCACTTGCCCCAAACTCCTCAGAAAGGAATTTTGAGTCAGAGAGACCCTTGAAAGACCCCCGACTCCATCGATTCCAAGTGGCGCTGTCAGTGCCAACAACCGTGCCCGCGTCCGACTCAAGCGCGAGAGATTCCTGATCGCCAAGCTGCTCAAAGGAACACTACTATGGCCGGCCCTGAAAAATTAAATTCCAGTAGGCTCTGATCTACCAACAGTACATTACACTAGGCTTATACCATACTATATGTTACACAACTTACTCTGCCACACCAAGGTTCCATGGATCCCGTCCGTGATAGCGTATTCGTGCCTGATCGATCGACCTGCGAGTGGAGCTGTACCGCTGTGCCATACTTGTGGAAGATTGGGGAATGGTACTGCAGCATTAAACAGAATTTTCTGGTGATAATATAGTCACAGTCTAATTACATGTGCTCAAGGCCTACATGCATGATCAACATCATGTCACGCACGCTGTCATCTAAGATCTACAGCCACCGAAGATCTTTCTCTAGACAGGGCCATGATCTCAAACAGAATCGGGCAACGATGCAACCCTCATGATTGAAATCTTTCTCGCTTTGTCCTCTTCAAGCCACGAACAACAAAGGAAGCTGCAGCTGGAGGATCGCGAGGAGTGCCCCTGCTTCCGCATACGGCTCTACGAATCGGCTCTACGAATCTTGGATCTTTCGTGCTTGCCGTGCTTGCCCCCTTTCCTTCCCTGCATCTTGGCCTCATCTGCGGGAAGGCTCGTCCATTGTGGATACTGAAGGTGTGCTCGTTTTTTCAGTTTGTTCAGGGCATGGCGCACATGGCGCGCATGGCGCACATGGCGCACGTGCAGACTTTGCAGACCGACACAAAGCAAGTCAAGCAATGTTTGACCATTTTGCATATATTTACTTCAAGCCCAAGTCCAAGTGGCCATCGAGCGCTTCCTCTCCAGGCCCTTCTTGGCCTGGCTTAAGGGCCAACAAGTCGGTTCAGTCACAAAAAGTCGCAGACCAAAAACACAAAAACACAGTGCGTGTAGGCCCCCAAGGTGAGCCGAGCCACGTCTGGCACGTCAGCCTCGGCTCGAAGTGAAGCCATAGAAGCCACACATCTCTTGCACAAGATGCATCCGCACACAATTGTGCATCTGAGGCACCCCCATGGACTTCTTTCTTTCAAGGCCCTTCAGCAGGGAACGGTATAGTGTAGTAGCATAGACAGCAGCTGCTCAGTAGATTCAGTAGCTCGTGAGGCTACATGTAACCACGCAACACAGAGACACTGACATGCGAGGGGGGTGGCGAGATGCTTCTCGGGATGTCTCCGTGCATCCTTAACCCACCTAGATTCGAAATTCTCGCCTGCTAGAAGAGAGGCTTTGTCAAGTGCAACAGTGCACCATTCCAATGAAATCTTGAAACACATAATACATACACCGAGTCTGCAAGGAACACAAGGGCTCTCTTTGGCAGGCCAGGGGCCGCAGGTCGAGAGGACTTCGAGCGGGACGAGAGCGAGGCCTAGCCGAAGCCAAAGCATCAAAACCAGCAAAAAAAAGAAAACGCAATACAAGAAAGAAGAATGCCAACAGACAAAAAAAAAATACTGGATCTTCCCCCCCGAGGTACCGAGGACTCCGGCGGCGCGTCCGCCTGAGTCAGACAAGCATATCTGGTCATGTCCTCCTTGCCCCAGCTGCATCATTTTTGCTCGTGCTCTAAGGGGAGACTACTGCTTTCTGAAAGGGGGAGGAGAACCGCTGCCGGGAGCTAAAATTAACGCCATGCTTTTGGGCTTCACGTGACGAGAGGCTCACAAGTCCGCCCCGGAATTCCATTGCTCAGCAGGCTTAGCAGGGCATGTCACAATACGTTACCACGCGAGACCGTGCCACACGAGACCAGGCGAGAAGGCATCAAACGGGAAACACCCCGAATTGGCAAACGGGAAGAGACAAACAGGAAAGAACGACTTATCAGTAGGCAACTGCTGCAACTACTGTCTCCGAGGGCATGTCAGGGCAACTTGAGGACAAAAGCCCCTGACCCCTGAATACATTCGAGCACACTCTAATATACTCATATTTACGATAAATGTACTATAGTGCACTATGATATACTAGAATAAATATATTAAAGTATACTATAGTGAACTATACTATGCTAAGAGCACATTGCCAGGCGACCATCGATTTCTTCCGCTCGAGGCTCTTTGAAGCCTTCGCATCGAAGGAGCTGGAGAGTGCCAAAGCCATAAGAAAAACGTTGCATTGTGCTTACACTGAGTCCCGGTATAGTCCCGGTAGAGGGGAAATGGGGTCCCAAGTTTGGGGTTCATATTCCAAGCGACAGAGTGGTCTGGAGACGACGCGTCCACCTCAAAAAACTCTGCAGTGACCCCCCCCCCAGTTCTCGAAGCGGCTGAAGGAGGAGACAGCTCTTCGCATTCAAGCGCATGAAGCTGCGTCCCGGTCACTGACATCTTCCGCCTGCTTTCCTGGGCAAGCTCTGGCAAACATGAGTAACATGGGAGTGTTAGCTCCAGAGCCCACGTGCCGTGACCAAGGCCAGGAATGAGGTTGCTGAAAGTGAAAATTCTAAGCAAGCTTGTACTTGCCAAAGAAGGTGGCCACAATGTAGCAGCGCAATGGCTTCTTGAGAGAAGCAGCTGACTTCTTGTTCCGGAAAGACATCTTCCTCGATGCGGAGCTCTGCAGCGCCGTGCTCAGCTCCTCAGAAGAGGGCAAATTGTCACAGCAGACGGGGAGTTACGATAACAAGGGACCCCCTAATCACCTAATATAGACTCCCCACATAGTAGGGTGCCCTTATAATTCCCCATGACACATTATACGAGCATAGAAGACCGTTATACCTATTTGGGGGGGTTGCCGAAGTGAGGAGGTACCTTATTGGAGTCCTTATTATAAGGGCATCCTACTAATTGGGGGTCTGCACTAGGGGTCCCTTAATTTTCGTAAACCCCCGAATGTCACAGCAAATAACAACAAAGCAACAACAAGCAGCGGCAATTGCAGCGGCAATTGCAGCTTCTAGCTTCACGAGGTCAAACCCCGAAATAGCAGCGGCAATCCCGAGAACTTTTGCCTCCCCTCCACAAAACAAGGAGACATCAACCTTCTTGCTTCCTAAGGTCAGATCCACGCTCGTCATCGTCAGCAGCCTCCGTTTTGATCGGTCAAGGGATGACTGCTGACACGCAACAGACACAACATTCCTTGAAGCATGTCAGACATTTCGTGAAACATGCAGTGGCTGCGTGAAGTTGGCTTCGGTTTTGCACACTTCGTGGGGAAGCGACCAGCATCACCGACTTCTTCCGGCCCTGTGTGACCTGTGTTGCCTTCACTTCCTCGGTGTTTTGACATGTCCAAGAACAGTGCAGAGAAACGGGAGAAGCAGGAGAAACAAGGCTCAAGAAGCTGCACTTGAAGCAATGAAGAAAGCAGTGCGAAGCGAAGCTTTGAAGCTTTGAGAGCCCTCTTTGGGGCTCCTGCCGAGTTCCGCCGTTCCTCCTTGGGCTCGGAGTTCCGCTTGTCCCCAGAGAGCCGCAAGGCCTGCCCCAGAGCCTCTTCCACGGAAACACTCCTTGGCACCAAAGCCGGCTTTTGAACAGGTTAATGCACAGTGTGCGTTCAGGTCGTGTCGGTCGTGTCACCACAAAGTCAGAGTCCACACACACACACACACATACACACACAAACACACAGAAGACAGAAGACCGGACGCGCAGCTTCTCGCCAGCTCTTGCGTGATCAGTTGTGCCCAGTTGCCCATGATACCCAGTACAGAAGACCGTTAAACCTATTTGGGGGTTTACGATAGTACGGGGCACCTTATTGGGGTCCTTCTTAACAGGACACGCTACTACATTTCAGGGGGATGTATATGAGGGGTCCCCTATCGTAAACCCCCCATCTGTGGCGCTTCGATCCCTCCTAGGGCCTCAGTCGCTTTGGCTCTTCAAGGTCCCGTGTGCGGTCACGGCTAAACTCATACCAAGCGCCCTCCAAAAAAAAACAGCCCAACAGCACACGGATAGATCTCTCAGGGTCGCCGAAACCCTAGACCTTAAAACCCCCCCCAAATACGACTTCTTCCGACCGTGTAAAAATCAATTTTACTCTGGCCCATAAGAACACGTGAGGGCACTCTCCACAGACTCTGGGGCCCCACGCTCGTCGCCCACCTCCGACACCCGTTGCAAGTGATGTCCACACCCATCAGCTAACATTCAGCTACATTTCAAATTACTACTCCATCTACTGATCTGTTGATCTTTCTGGTTCTCTACATTTCTCTACATCTCCGTGTCGATCTCCTTCCCTCTACCTCTGCCTCTGCCTCTATCTCTACTCTGTCTTATAACGCTCCGCCCGGCCTTTCTGCCGCGGACAACTTCCAACTGAAAAATTGGAAACGCGTTGCATACGACATGTATCAGCAAAAGTACATTGCGAACTATACTTGCAGTTGACCTCAAAATGGCAAATCCCGAGTCGTCGTTTGCACAAATCGACAACCAAGATGGCGCGACAGCCGCGTCTAAGGGATGGCGGACCTGGAAGCCAAGCCTCGTATTGAAAGTTACACCACGAAGTAAGTGCATGTCGCAGACTGACGACCAGATTGTACAGGATACTCTGATCCAAAATACTTTGCGAAACAAAAGGATAGTAGGTTGGCGATGGGTAGTATAGCATGACACAATATCATGTAGTGTAGTATCGTACTGCCCCACTCTTTTGCAGTATGGTAGAGTCTGCGGCAGCCGGTATAGATGCTCTGGCATAGGGACGCGCGGGAATGGATGTTATGGTGGCCAGCATGGCTCGCTCTCTTGCCCTCCTGCCCCTTCCTCTCTTCGATTCAGTGCTCTTGCCAAACGATTCTGCTCACCTCAACGGCCATGCCCTCGTCATCAGCAGCGTAGTCCGGCCCACGCAGCACGTCCAGGGCATACAGCAGCAGCTCGCGGGAAGCCAGTGCCTCAAACAACAACCGTCGTCTGCAGCACTGCGGCGTTCACTTCACCATTTGGGCGCCGGACGGGCTGCAGTGCCCGGACCAGAAGGACGCGGTGGAAGCCGCCAAGCGGCCTAAGCTCAAAAAAGGCCCAGACGGGCCCAGGCAGCTCTCTTTGCTTTCCTTTCCGCCTCGTTGTGTAGCTGGGCGTTGCTGGGCGTTGCTGGGCGTTGCTGAGCGTTGCTGGGCGTTGCTGGGCGTTGCTGGGCGTTGCTGGTCAATGAGCTCCCTGGGACTTGCTGAATGACGATTCGGACGGTGTCGCTCGGATCCCTGCCCTCTGCTTCGTCGTACGATCCGGACGCCAAGAGGACATGCCCATGATGCAACAGGTACAAGAAGGCAGGCTCCCTCTGCAAACCCCAAACCCTTAAATGAGTTGGGGCCCCCAGCTCTTCCTCACTCCAGGGGTGAGGATAGGAGAATGCGGCGGACTTGGATGGATCTGGGATGCCATGCAAAGCCTCAGAGCTGAACTCTCAGAAGGGAAATTTTTGAAGAAGAGAGCAAGAAGCTTCCGAATTTTTTGGGGGCGCCCCCTTCCTGCCACTCTCTTCGTGCCGCTCGGGAGCACTCTTCCAAGAGTCCAGGTTTTCTTGGAGGTGCTTCGGCAAGTCCTGGAAAACTGGCAGGAGCTCCGCCAAGGTGCAGACATTCTTCCACACCTCGACAGGCCCGGAGACCCCGCATGTCAGCACCAATTCCATAGAACACACACAAAGCATCCTCTGCACAACAGAAAGGGAGCATCTCCTACTTTTCAGCTCTCTCCCCTCTCTCTGCTCTCTCCTGCTCTCTCTCTCTCTCTGCTCTCTCGAGCCAAGTGTCGGAGTCGGACCAGAGCTCTGCATTGGGCGACGTGGACGAGGCGGCGAGCCTCGGCGGTTCGTTAGGCTATGTTAGGCTCTTGCCAGTGCCAGGTCACAGAAGGGCAAGAGCACAGAGGAGAGCGCATCATGGACTCCATGGGACCTTGCTGACAGAGTCTCCGGCGAGCTGCCGCTGAGCAAGAAGTCCACCAGCGCGGGCTCCTCTCCGCTCCCTCTCCACTCCCTCTCCGCTCCCACTCCCTCATTTCAGTCCCTCTCTCCTGGGGATCCAGTAGGAAGGCGGTGTGGACGAGCAGGAGCTTGGTCTGGTGCCGGAAGAAGCTCCAGGAGAAGCGCCGGAGAATCCGAGAGGCCACGGCCCACAGCGAACTACTGGTCAAGACCATCATCGAGGCCGCTGTGCTAAGGAAGGTGTCCTGGCCGAAGGCCACCAGCGACTGCTGCTTCAGTAAAGCCTGGCAGGCGGCCTCAGAGAGAAGGAGAGCGCCAGTCACAGAATCCAGACGGATAGCGATCGGATAGCGGCACTGAGTGCTGAGAGACCGGCGATGGCAGACTCGCCCATGTCCGACAAGGAGCACAGGAACAGCAAGCCTGCAGGGGCAAAGGGGACCGAATGGGACCTCTTGGACTCTTGGACTCTTGGACTCTTGGACTCTTGGACTCTGGGACTCGTCCCCCCTTTTTTCGGGACCCCCGGGCCGCAGCTGCTGAGGGAGTCCAGGGACTGGAAGAGGGCGGCGCAGCGCTCCGCCAGGGCCCCGTAGACCGACCGGTTCTTCTCCAACTGCGAATGCAGCACCTGCAAAGCCTCCGCGGAAGCAACAAGCAGGGTGTGCCCGAGGCATGTTCTAGAGGTTCTAGAGGCAATTTAGAGGCGTGTGAAAAAAGCATACTCCCTAGTACTATAGTACTACTACATGTCTGACCCCATTTCTCATCATCTCTCCCTGTCGAAGGGCGGAGGAGGGTGGGGAGGATGCGGATGCGCTCTCCTCTCATATCCTCTCTCTTCTCCTCTCTCTGCTCCTCCCTCTTCTCCTCCCTCATATCCTCTCTCAGAAGGGTTTAGGGTTTAGGGTTTAGGGTTCACACAAAAGATGCCGCGCCTCGCTGAGCGCCTCCCGGAGCTCGAAGAGGCGGCCGGAGGAGGCGGCCACCGCCGACAGCGTCGGCTCGTGCTCGAAGAGCTCCACGCCCTCCACGTTCTCCGTCAGCCTTTTGGGGTTTATAGGGTTTAGGGTTTAGGGTTTAGGGTTTAGGGTTTAGGGTTTAGGGTTGAGGGTTGAGGGTTGAGGGTTGAGGGTTGAATTACTTGAAGCAAAGAAGGGAGCAAGGGGAGGGAGCAAGAAGGGAGCAAAGAGAACCGAGCGGTTTCTCTCCTATCACCTGTCCCAGGTGCTGGGACAGAAGTTGGTCCTCCAGCATCAAGAACTCCCGCTGGTTCTGCACGAAGCTCAGCAACTCTGTGGCCTCTAGGGAACAGGACGGACATGAAGGGACGCATAGTAGAACGCGCAGATCCTTTTTGCGATTTTTTCTCTGCGTTCTTGGACTCAGGCTCGCACCTCTCCTTGCTTCGCGAGTCGCACCAGAAAGTAATCGTCCAAGGTGTTCTGGTCGGCGGTAAAGTTGACCGTTGCTGTTACGGTTTGGCTCGCTGAAGGTAAGTTCACTTGCTTGAGCGCGGTGACCAAGAAGAGCCGAAATTCCTGAGCCGAGCAAGACTCTCACTTCCGCAGCTCATGGGGCTGAAGCACGAAGGGCATGAAGGGCATGAAGGGCATGAAGGGCATGAAGCCGCACTCTGTGTGCTCTCTTGGCACAACTTGGCAGATTTCAGACGTGGCATGTCCCCAGGCACGCCGGGCCCATTCAACGGTTGCACATGGTTGCACAGTACCAGGCTTGGGACCTGGGATCCCGGCAGAACAGCCTGCTTCGGGGCTTTCAGCCTCCACGACCTCTGCACGGGCAAGACGGCCAGTTCTGTAGAAAGGGCCCTCTCACACACCAAAAACCCCACGTGGGCCCCTAAAGCTCGGAGAGCTCTTCAACTTTCGCCCTGGCCTCCACTGGGATCGACTCGGCCACTGACTCGGCGTCCCAGTGTTCCTTCGCTTCCTTCGCTTCCTTCCCTTCCTCCTTGGACTCCTTGGCTTCCTCCAACTCCACGTTCGACCCTGCTCTCGACCGCCTTGACTCAATCTTCTCCTTCCTCTCCCGGGTCTCCCTGGGCTCTTTCTTCGCATCCTCCCGCAAGGGATCTCTAGGCATCTCTCCCAATCTTAGAAGGGTTGAAGCCCCCTTTTGGTATTACATAATTTTCCGGGGGAGGGGGGGCGGAAGGCTTTTTAAGAAGCAAACAAGCAGGGGCCTTGCTCGGGTCCGGGCCGAACCGCAGGTAGTTCAGGAGGCTCGGTGCAAGTGCCGAGCCGCAGCCCAACACCAGGAGGGGCTTGCCTTCGAGCTGAACCGTGTATTGCTCTGCCAGGCTCTACCATCTCGAGGATTCTGTGCATTGTGAAACTGCGCTACGTGCTTTTTGTGCGGTCGCAAGGTCTCCACATGTGGGCCTTCGTGGAGGCAGGCCGCGAGAGCCTGGCCTAGCTTGGGGCTGGCGGCATGCGTCACGGTCAAGGACGGCACCGCCTTCCGCAGCCACCGCGAAGCCTGGACTGGGAAAAACCCTCGCTCTCTTTTCTTAGCCTGTTCCCTTCAAGCCCCTCATTCATCACCCCTGCCATCCCCCCCTTCCTCACGTCCGCCTGCTCGTGGGGGTCCAAGCACACCGGCGGCAGGGGGACTTTCAGGGCCAGCGCCGCGCTGGTCGACAACCCGCCGGGCAGGCCCTGCGCGTGCCACTCCTGCTCGCAGACCTCGTCCAACAGGAAGCTGGGCAAGGTCCAGACCTCGTTGTGCTCCGTGTTCTCCTGGTGCTCGGAAGGCCAATCGATGTTCCCCAAGTCCATGGAGCTGCTTGGGTCCACTTCATCTCTGCTGGACTCATCTCTGCTCCGGGATCCCAAGTCTTCCACCTCCCACTGGTGATGCACCTGATCGGAGAACTGGAACCCGCACCTCGGAGGAACAAGAGTAGCCACTGCAGCCACTGTAGCCCACAGCAACTGGAACCTGCTGTAGTCCCTAGTATACTAGAGCATTCTCGATGAACATCCCACATACCTATGCATCTTAGGGGCGTACCAATTCTAGCAAGTAACTCTCTACAGTATGCCTTCTCTCTCCTTATTTCTCCGTTCCGGGCGGCTCGGCCCAGAGTGCCTGCAGCGCCTCCTCACAGGCCAGGCGCCGGCCCGGGAACACCGGGCCCAGGTAGGCCAGCACGACGCTGGCGTAGAGGCCTCACATGCAGAAAACCCCCCCAGAAAAGAGAGAAATCTGACCACGTACTCACGCAAGGTGCCCTAGCATGTAAGGTGTGGTATCTACAGCACACTATAGTATGCTGTGATCGGTTCTAGCTTATACCGCAAGATGGGAACGCGAACTACAAGTAAAAGTGTACCCTCGCCATTTCTCCCGCAGATTTAGGCAAGCTGCACTCTCCGGCAAGAGACTCGGCCGACCGCTGCAATGCCGACAGCTGCCGCTCCCAACAGCCCTGCTCCACGAGAAGACCTGCGACAATTCCAAAAAACTCCTCCGACCAGGATACCATGGTATACTTCACAAGTGCAGCATAATTGGAATGTACTCTAGTGTACAATAGGGTATTATAGTGTACGAAAGTATGCCAGAGAGCATGAGAATCTACTGACAAGAAACCTTTTGCCGCAGTCTTCTTTTAGTTGCCCCGAGCCTCCGTGCAAGACTCTACTCGCGAGATCGGCACGCGTTGTCCAAGAGTCCAGCTCCTTGACCAGAGCGTCCCTGAGACCGCCAGGTTGAGACATGTCGAGAAATCTCTCCGCAGGGCACTCTGAGAGGACATTCTCTCTAGGACGCCCACTCTCAGGCCTACTCTTTTAGCATCTGCTCAAGGCAAGGTGCATCTTTCCCTGCGCCTGCTCGAGCATCCTTGCGGGGTCCTCCGCCTGCCCAAAACCAAGCAGTGACTCAGTGGAACCGCAACTTTGTCGCAACTTTGTCGCAACTCTGTCGCAACTTGTCGCCCAACTTGCAAGAACTCAAAAGCCCCTCCTTCCCCTCGAGGACCCGGAGCGCCGCCTGATTCAAGTGGCTCGGGAGAAGAGCCCCCCCCTGCAGCTCCCATTCATCCTCCCGTTCTCTCGTTTCCCTTTTTCTTCAAAACCCCCTATTTTGGTGTCAGTCCTGCTTCTCTTCGATGTCGGCTCGAGCGGCGGTGGCTTCGGACTCTGTCTGGCTCACGCGGGCACGCAGGTCGGCGGTGGACCGGTAGACCTCCCCGAGAATGGGGGATCATGGGGGCACGGCAGCATCGTGCGCCTGCATCTCCCTTCTAGATTTTAAGAATGGAGTGTTGGGCATATTTTGGCAGTCCCCTGCCAGCAGGCCACTTCCGTGCCCCAGTGGAACTGGAGATTTGGGTTTGAGGTCTTCTGCTGCTGCTCTTGCGGCTGAGCTTGTGCCAAAAGACTTTATGATAAGAAGGCCTGAGAAGAAGGGCGCAAGATGCCTGGCTTGGGCAAGAACCAGGGGAGACGGAGGGCCATAATACAGCATATGGCCAGCTGATGCCAGCCTTGAAGAAAACACGACTGAACAACCAGAAATGCCTTTTTTTTCACAACCAGGATCGCAAGCTCCTGTGGAAAGATTAAAGCGTGTGCATGGTTGAGGCACCTCGTCATAGGCTGACAGAGCACGAAGCCAGTTGCAGATGAATTTGGCCGCTCTGCTTTGCGAGTCCACCAGTGTCGGATTGAAGTCTGCGCGGCTGACCTCTCCAGAGCCGGGACAAGAGTCGTCTCTTGGGTTTTAGGGTTTAGGGTTTAGGGTTTAGGAGTTAGGGTCTGATTGGTACATCTGCCGCTTCAAGCTCCAACCCTGACAAGGTCCGGAGCTACTTTCTTCTTCCTGGCTGCAGCGTTGACATGTGACAATAGTGCCACTCCACTGCCCCTTGCTGCGTGCGCCCTTGAGCGTCTGGAAACCTTCTGAAAATGTTGTTGGAGGACATGCTCAAGCGCTTCCAGTAGCGAGTGCCTCGGCCTTCAGCCTCGCGGAAACTGCTTCGGACAGATGGTCCTGGGAACGCAACAGGTCAAAGTTTGCACAACGTGGAAGATAGAATTGCGTAACCCTCTCAAGTCCTGCTCAAGATAAACTGTGCACGATGGGCAGACAATTGCGTAACTTGCTCAAGCTGTGTTCACGATGAACGGTGCACACAATTGCACACGATGGGCAAACAATTGTGTAACCCGCTCAAGTTAGTTCTGTTCAAGATGAACTGCGCACACGATGGGCAGACAATTGCGTAACCCGCTCAAGTTCTGTTCAAGATAAACTGTGCAATTGCGCACAATGGGCAAACATTTGTGTTCTGTTCAAGATTAACTGTGCACACAACGGGCAGACAATTGCGTAACCCGCTCAAGTTCTGCTCAAGTTAAAACTGTGCACACGATGGGCAAACAATTGCGTAACCCGCTCAAGTTAGTTCTGTTCAAGATGAACGGCGCACACGATGGGCAGACAACTGCGTAACCCGTTCAAGCTCTGTTCAAGATAAACTGCGCACACGATGGGCAGACAGTTGCGCAGCCCGCTCAAGTTCTGTTCATGTTAAGCTGCGCACACGATGGGCGATAAACTGTGCACACAATTGCACACAATGGGCAGACAATTGCGTAGCCCGCTCAAGTTCTGTTCAAGATAAACTGCGCACACGATGGGCAGACAACTGCGTAACGAGCTTAAGATCCGTCCAAGATAAGCTGTGCACGAATGGGCAGACAATTGCGCAACCCGCTCAAGTTCTGTTCAAGATAGACTGTGCACACGATGGGCAAACAGTTGCGTAAGCCGCTCATGTTCTGTTCAAGATAAACCACACAATGGGCAAACAATTGCGGAACCCAATCAAGCTCTGTTCAAAACAAACTGTGCACACGATTGGCACACAATTGCGGTAACCCACTCAAGTTCTGTTCAAGATAAACTGCGCACACGATGGGCAGACAACTGCGTAACCGGTTCAAGTTCTGTTCAATATAAACTGTGCAGTTTAAACCATTGAGCAATGAAATGAAGTCTAAATTCAATCGAAGATTACAGGGGTGAATGAGTTCTACTTGAAAATGAATGCGGACCTGGTGCATGTCTAGTCTGATTCCGAAAGAAAGAATTCCGTCAACTTCTGTTCAAAATTAAACCAAAAACCATGCTTTCTGTCTATGGGACGAATGGGACCTGCTTCGTGCTTAATGGAAATCCTTCTGCGGCTGCCGGCCCCCTGGTCTGGGCTTTGTCCATGCTATGCCTTCCCCGGCCCTGAACCCGATGCACTGCAACTCCATCTGAGTGCAAGTCACCGTTGAATGCATAGAACACAAAAAGCATGAAGGACCTTTGTGCTTCTTGCACTGCCCCCCTTCCCTTTCAGCTGAGCTCGCCCGCCTCTGAACATGCCCCAAACCCCTTTGCAACAAGCCCACGGGCGCCCACGGCTCGCCCTTTGTGTACCATAGTATACCAGACTATAGCACACTCTATAGTCGCTGTAGCATGCTATGGTATACTATAGTAGACAATAGTACTATAGTAGACTATAGTAGCGCATAGTATACTTAGCAAATCGCAAGTCCGAATCCGACATGCCTTCGAGCCTAAAATATGTACAAGTTGTCCAGAACAAGCCTACCACTGCATATGAGGGCGGCACAAACCAAAAGAGCCAAAAACCTCCAAGCGCACGCTCTCACAGACCCTCTCGATGCTCGAACTGCGTGTGAGCTAAGCAAACGAAGGGAGCAGAAGGCTGGTGGCAAAGCTTGACACACCCAAGCGGAGGCGGTGAAGGCAGGGCAGCTTGACTGACCCAAGCGGAGGCCGAGAAAGGCAGAATGCATGAAAGCTTGACGCACCCAAGCGGAGGCAGTGAAAACACGCCAGCTTGGCGGTGCTTGACAGACCAAGCAAAGGCCATGGTATACTTATGGTCTACTTATAGTATACTTATAGTATACCGTAGCAATTAATTCTACAGTATACCAACAAAAATTACTTCAGTCTGCAATAGTCTGCTTTAGTCTACTGCAGCCTACTATCGTCTACCAATAGCACCGGTACTCTTGCAAAAACCACCAACTCCCCCCATGGCATCAGGCTTCCCAAGTCCCTGGGCTTGGCTCTCCCCACCAGACTCCCGCAAACTCTAACACCGTAGCATGCCACGGTATGCTACAGATAGCATGCTGTAGTATACTGTGGTATACTGTAGTATACTATGGTCTTCCAAAATGGCTCCAAGTGTCAAAGTGCGAAATAGAGGAACCTTTCAATACTGTGTACCTGCTAGTGGCGCCTGTGTCTAGCACGTCTATTGACGGATCTCCTTGTCAAAGTCTCGATAGCGCTTGCCGAAGTGCGTCTCCGAGATCAAGTTCTTTATGGCCGCCCATTCCGGCGAGCACCCGAAAAGGTGAGCGACCATCTCCATGACCGCTGCGACCAAGGGCGGAGGCGACCCGAAACTCTTCAACTCACTCACGTCCTTCCTCGGAAAGAGCGGTAGAGGGAGCTCAAAAAGGAGCATCGCAAGCGACTCGACCCCACTCCTTCACACACTGAAAACCTCTGAGGCTCTTCTCTACCTTCTCGAAGGCCTTCACGGCCGTCCTGTACGGCTGTAGAACTTCCTCCATGGCGCCTGGCGCAATCTGACTCAGCACTTTGCTGAGAGATTTTCCTTTGCTGACAGATTTTCCTTTGCTGAGATATTTTCCTTTACTGAGAGTATGCTGCTGTCTACTTTGCAGCGCAAAGTACCCGGGCCTTGCAGCTCCGCGGCCAAGGCCTTGCTTGCCTCCTCCCGGTTCTCCAAGGTGGCCTCCGCCGCCTGCAGCTGCTCCTGAGACACGGAAACCACGACGGAGATGAATCATCATTGATGTCATCATGATATCATCATGATATCATATTCTCTGGGAAGCTCGGGGACTAACTAGGCAGTTGGACAAGGCCCTCGCGGAGGCCACAGATTTAACGCGCAGTAAGACATCAGAGAGTCTGAAGTCTGACTATGAGTCTGAGAAGAAGATGAAGGTGAAAGACGTGAAAAACTTGCAAAAACATTGAAAAACGGGAGACACAGACAGGCGCCTCGGCAGACTGCACCTGGGAGGCGGCCATCGCGGCGGCCTCCCGGAGATCGGCCATCTGGGCCTCCTGCTGCCGCACACCCTCCTTCAGCACCTCCACCTTCCTCTCGCAGCGAGAGAGAACACCTATGCTGCCTATATCTGCCTATGCTCTCTCTGACAGAATTCCGAAGAAGAAAGAAAGCTGAGAGAGAGAGAGAGAACGCTCTGCTGCCTCTAAAAAAACTGCTCTGCCTTTTTCGACCGGCTGCTCTCAAAATAAGCCGAGTCAGCCCCCTCGCGTCCTTGACACCTCTTCCAGAAACCCGGGCGCCCGCTTCAAGGCGGCCAAGGCGGCCTCTAGCCGTGCGCGCCTCAGAACAAAAACCAACACGCACCGCAGATGCCCACAGAACCCAAGGGCCCACAAGCCATGTTCGTCCGAATTCCGAGTCGCTTCTTCGAGATCTGCGCATCCTTCCAGCGATAGAGCTGCGGAAAGCCTTGCAGTACCTGGGAGAAGCTCCTGCAAGGTCTCAGCAGTTGAAAGAGACGCCTCTTCCCCTCGTTCCCCGCCTGCCCATCCCCTCTTTTCTGGGCTCTCTCTCGTAAACTCCTGACGGTCACGGGCACCTGATCGCCGGTGCGCCGCTCCTCAGACAGAAGGGGGTGAAGAGTGACAAGTTCAGAAAAAGTCAACGTGGAAATGGGCAAAAGGGGGGTAAACAGGGTTGTGCCAACTTTTTCTTTTGGGTGTCCTGGGCCGCGAAGAGGTCCTGGCACCGGGCCAGGCATGCGGCCAGTGAGCTCGAGCAGCTCGGGCCCTCCAGCTCAAGCTGCGCGAAGCCTTTTCCGAACTCTCAATCCGCTCTCCCCCCGCCACTCTCGGAGCTTTTTGTTCCTCACTTGAAACATCTTGAAACCCTTGCAAGCCCCCCCCCCCCCACCCCCCCACCCCCCTCCCACCCCCCTCCCCCCCCCCCACCCCCCTTCCCGACTCTTGGCGAGCGGCTCGCGTCGGCCATCGCCTGCCAGGACTCCACGCTCCAGGCTTCCACGTGGCTGACCTCTGCGCGCACACTTGTCGTAGATTTCTGAGATGCCCCTCTGTGAGGAAAACGGTTCTGTTGAGCTGCGTCAGGTCTCAGCGCCAAGCACAGCAGCAAGCAAGGATGGTCGAAGACTTGCGAAGGATGTTGAAGTCAAGGGGAGACACACAGAGCACCAGGTGCAAGTGCTGATGCACACCTCAGCCAGGGAAAAAAGTCTGAGCTTCTAAAGGGGCTCCACCTCCGGATGCTCCGGTCAGGGCCCCCCACGGTCCAAGAAGACTTGCCAGGCCTCCGAGAGCAAAGAGCAAAATGTTTTGCGCTTGCCCGCTTTTCTCCAATGCACGCGCCTTCCTCCGCGCCTTTTTCTGCCTCCCTCCCGCCATCTCCCTCCCCTCGCTCCCATCCCTCCCCTTCCTCCACTCCTCCTGTTTCCAGTTCCTTCCCCCTCCCTCTCCCTGCCACCCAAGGTCCCACAGGGATTCAAGGTCTGCAATTTGTGCAACCCCCGCCTCGTGCGCTGCCAGGTCCTCAAATCAAAGGCTCTGAAAGCGAGGGAAAAGTCCGACTCAGCCAACGCACCAGAAAAGAGCATTGAGCACTCCTTCAAGTCCAGCGCCTGGACAGAAACGTGAGAGAGTGAGAGTGTGAGAGGGCAAGAGAGAGCGAGAGGGCGAGAGAGCCACAGAGAGCGAGAGAGCGAGAGCGAGCGTGAGCGAGAAAGAGAGAGAGAGAGAGAGAGAAAGAGAGAGAGCGAGCGTGAGCGAGAAAGAGAGAGAGAGAGAGAGGAGAGACAGAGAGAGACAGAGAGATACAGAGAGAGAGAGAGAGAGATGCAGAGAGAGAGAAAGAGACCGACAGAGAGAGATAGACAGAGACAGAGGGAGAGAGACAGCGAGAGGCAGAGAGAGACAGAGAGAGACAAGGAGAGACAGGCAGACAGAGACAGCAAGAGACAGAGAAAAAACAGAGACACAGAGAGAGAGAGAGAATGAGTGTGAAGCGTGAGTGTGAGTGCGAGTGCGAGTGTGAGGGAGAAAGAGAGAGAGGAGTGTGAGTGCGGGGCAGAGAGCTCAGGGCAAGCTGTACACGAGCAGGGGCTTCTCTGACGTTGCCTCGTGGAGCCTCAGGCCAGACTCAGACAACCGAAGCCCAAGCTGGTGCACTGAGTGCACTTGAACTCACACTGCACTGGTGCTGACCAGCGGCATGTTGGTGATTTCGTCTGGACTGCACAAGTCCGGCACGTGACCAAGGTCTAAGACTGCGCCGACCAAATCTCGCACGGCATCATTCTGAAGGTCCTCAGCAGGGCTTTCAATTCTGTCTCCTCAGTATCTTCCCTCGAGATGGCATCGGATTTCACGGCGCGTCCTCGTCAGTCAGAACCACCATACAATCGCTCTTTTTGGCTCCGCAGGTGCGCCAGACCACCCGCAGCATCTGCTTCAAGTCTGTCTCACCAAAAGGATCCTGAGGGCAGGGGCTTTGAAAAACAAGGAAGAAGGTTAGGAATCTGGCACCACCTCCCCCCCCCCAAGAAGAGGCCGATGCATGGATTCCTGGCCTTCTTGGGCGCGAAGTGCACGGCGTCCAAGATGTGCGCTGCCAGGCCGCAGAGGCTCCGCCGGCCGCTGCCCAGCAGACCCAGCAGGAGCAGATGGCTCCGGACCAGGGCGCCCGTGCGCAGCAAACCTTCTCAAGTGTTTGGGAGCCCCTTAACAGTCTTCAGAGAACAAAAAACTCCCAACACAAGGCAGAAAGAGAAGCACAAGAGTTGCTTTCCCTCTTGTTCTTCTTCTCTTTTCCCCACCCTCGGTGTGGGGTTGTTAGATTTTTGACTCAACTCCTCTCCTCGCCCGGAGTCTCCTCCTCGCCCGGTCTACCCAACCCCAAAGTGTCCCTGGAGTACCCAACTCTACAATGTCCCTGGAGTGCCCAACCCCAGAGTCTCCCTGGAGTGCCCAACCCCAAAGTGTCTCCGGAGTGCCCAGCCCCTGGAGTGCCCAACCCCAGACTATCTCGACCAAGAGAGGGTTGGGGAATGTTCGACGTCAATTTTTTTTTCTCTCTCTCTCCCCCTCTCTCTCTCTCTCCCTCTCCCTCTCTCTCTCCCTCCCTCTCTCGCTCTCTCTCTCTCGCTCTCTTTTCTGCGCGTAGGCTCTTTGCATGTTGTTTGAGCGAGCTGCGGCACAGCTGGCTCACCACCTCCTCAGAAAGGTAAAAGGGCTGAGGCCGAGCTTGGAGCTGCCTGAGGTTCTCTGACCAAGCGAGGTCAAAAGGAGTCAAAAAAGGCTTGCTAGGAACAGGCCAAGACTGTAAGAGCATGCTAAGAGACCAAAAGGCTATTGCTTGCAAGCGTTAAAATCCGCTAACAAGCGCCCAAGGCACAGGTACTCGCCCAGTGACTCCTCGAAACTTCTGAGCATGGCTTCTTCGGACACTCTTTCGTAAGGCTTCTCGATGGAGGCTGAGAGCCGTTTCAGGAAGCCTCGGAACAAAGGCGTGTTGACGTCCAGAAGCAAGTCGACTCAGTGCATACAGTGCAGCAAGGGAAACCGCGAAAGAAAAAACATTGCATGCTGCGGAACGCACTGGCAACGCCTCGGAGTCTGAAAGCGGGTCCGCGGGCGCGAGCTGCTCGTGCTGCCTCAGATGCTGTCGCAGATATTTCATAACAGGTTCTGCAAAGACCAGGACCATAACAAGCAGCTCTCAGCAGTTCCGTCCCCAGACTTGGCACCTGGCTGACGCAGATGTTGTTTGAGGAGATCCTTGTGGATCTTCATCTTGAGCTTGTCCTCGAAGACCCGGCTCACCTCGTGGTGGAAGGCCTCGCGAAGTGTCTCCAGGGATTTGTCCGCAACCAAGACCGCCAGAATACCATCGAAGGTCCGTGCCACATCCCGCCAAGTCCAAGTGAGGTAGGGTGCCTTGGGGCTCCGCATGAAGGAGCGCAGAGCAAACTCATAGACTTCCAGCGTGGCATTCGCGTAGGCCCGAGCGTATACAGATCCCGATGGGACGTTGTTCAGGCGGCTGAGGAGGATGGCTGAGTAGATTTCCATCACATTCGTCCGTGTCCACTCTGCCTGCATCACCAAGAAGTGCCGTAGAAACCTCGCTGGCAACTGGCCGCCAGACACCTCGGAAAATGCCAAAAAAAGAGAAATGAGGTGACTGAGGTGACCTTGATCTCCCAAAGCTCCGCTTCCAACCCCGTTACAGCACACGGCTTCTGCGAGTACGCAACAAAAGCTTTTGACAGGAATCCGGGCCTGTGCACCCTCGCCCGAGACCGCCAGCAGCGCCAAAGGGAGCCGATGCAGGTCACCGAGGTCTGTCAAAGACTCGCTTACGCGCCCGCTTTTCAGATGAATTGGCGGAAACAACGTGCTCCGTCTCACTTTAAAAACCCTCAAAGAATCCACAAAGGGAAACCCTGGATGTGAGCACTTTGCTTTTGGGAAAGAAGCAAAGTGCTTCTTGTTTGCGATGCCGGGCCTGTCTGTGAAAGCACCTCTCCGTGGCTTCGGTCGTCCAAACCTGTGACGAAGGCCCCCAATTTCTGGTGGAGGCTACCCGTACAGCACAAGCTCCAAAAATGTAAATTCTCCTTTCTATTCCTATGCTCAGAAGGACCGATTGGAGCTGCCTGCAGTCTTGAAGCCCCCCACCTTCGAGCAGCCTGCGGAAGAGCTCCAGCACAGCGCCTGAGCTGGACCTCGGTGGCAGCGCGACGTCATCGGCCACCAGGAAAGTGCCTGACTTGCCGAATCTGTGTCGAGGTCTCCTCAACCCCCCCCATCCCAACCTCTTCAAAGCAGCTACGCACCTACGTAGTTACCGCAACTACCTCGCCATGAGCCCACCCCCGCACCAAGCCTTTGGCCGCCTCCAGTGAGGCTGCGGCGCCCGCGGCGCCGCGCAGCTGCCCGCGCAGCGCTCGCGGCGCCGTTGATGCCGAGAGCCGCAGGAAGGCCTACGGCAGCCATAGCACGTGGGTAGGCCGAGAACAGAGAGAAACAGGGGCTGTCCGAGATTCCCCAAGCCGAGTGGCGGTACCACATCCTCTCCGCGATGCCTCAGCACGCTATGAGGGTCTGCGCACTACTGCGCACTACTGCTCTTGTACTTGGCGACCGCCTCGCCTTCTTTTTTTTCGCTTGTGCATCCAGGGTTGCATGTTGGTCTTTGCTCCATGGCTTCTGCACACCTGCTGCCCAGGTGCTCTCTGCATGATCTTGGTTGCCAGAAGTGTCCTCGCACGAAAGCATAGTTCAAGCCCTAGGTACTTGTGTTGAAATGGGCTCAGCGATGTCTACACCAATTCTGGCCCGATATCCCGACCAAAGCACGTAAATGGATCAAACCGTCGTGTTGAATCGAAGCCGGAGGAGATGGCAGAAACAACTCCAAGCAAAAGGCTTAAAGATGCTGTTGGTGGTGGTGGTGGTGGTGGTGGTGGTGGTGGTGGTGGTGGTGGTGGTGGTGGTGGTGGTGGTGGTGGTGGTGGTGGTGACTTTGCTGTTGCTGCTAGCATTGTCGGCATCGTTGCTGTTGTCGTCACCGTCGTCGTCGTCGCTGTTGCTGCTGCTGTTGCTGGTGCTGCTGTGCTGCTGCTGTTGCTGTTGGTGTTGTTGGTGTTGTTGGTGTTCTCGCTGTTGTTGGTTTTTGGTTTTGTGGTGCTGTGGCTGTGTGCTGAATGAAGAAAGGTCTGCTATGTCAGGAGGCTTGCGCCCGCCAGATCATGTGCTTGGAGCCACTTCGAAGTGGCATGCAAAGTAAAGCTGAGAGAAAGTGCGTCCGTGTTTCTTCACACCCACTTGACTAAAGCTTGGAAAAGCACAAGAAACCGGACCAAACGTTTTCAAATCAAGGCCTGGGCGGGAAACTAAATACAAAGAAGAGATGAACAGGAGCCAGGACGAAAAGGAAGAGACTATAAACACAACGGACAAGACGGATGGCAGCAAAAGATCAACTGGGTCTAACCGAGAAGCATTCAGGACTGAGTCCCAATGTGCCGCAAGAAAAACGAACCCTGGTGAAGCAAAGCAGACAAAGTGAAAGGGATGACAGAAAATACTCTACGATGGATACTCGATTGCAGAAAACTACAGTATCGTATACTAAGCGAACACCATGATGAAGAATGAACGGGATACGAAGCGCCGGCAAGGCACTTGCCACACCCAGCGGGGCCGCGAATCAGCAGCCGGCCTGGGACAAAACCCGACGTGTGGGGGGGGGGGGGGGGCACTCCCCGAGTTGAAGCACAAGCATTGTAGGCAAGTTGCAGCAGGCAAACATGTACCATACGATGAAAATACCAACACAAAACGCTCGTGATATAGCGTCCTGCTGAACACTGTAGTATAGTGTCGCAAACGACAGGATACTATATAGTATACCATACTAATGCTATAGCTAGAGTTCTCCCCTGTCATTCCCTTTCGGCTTGTCTTCTTGCTTTCTTTCCCACCCTGCCATGCCCTCGCCTGAATGCTCTGAGAGCCAGAAAGCGCCGGCATGGAAGGCGCTTGGGACAAAGAGGTGCCCCTGCGAGCTCGACGAGCTCGAGCCGCTCGGGCCGCTCGGGCCGCTCGGGTCGCTCGCAGTCCAGGGCTCCAAGGGCCGGAGGAAAGGAGGACCTTCCCTCTCCAACCTCCTTGGCTCTAAAACACTTCAGTGATCTTTAGTGTGTGCCTAGGCATGCTGGACATGCTTAGGCTTCGTGAGAGCTTGCTTGAGCGGAAGCTTCATGGAGAAGAGGTCCAGCTCTTCTTCCAATCCGGCCGCCTCCCTGCTCCACCGGTTCACCTGGCATGGCGCTCTCAAAGCTTCAGAAAAAGCTTCGAAGCGTTGCAACATGTTGCAACTCTCGTGCAGCCAAAAAAAGTAGCCCCCTGATTCCCTGGCCTCTTTGCGTGCGCTCTCCGTGAGCGAAGCACCCAGGCACCATGCCAGGCAGAAAGCCCAGGCCGCCGAGACATAGCCCTGCGGCAAGAATGTGTTTGGGCAAGATGCTGCTTACACTGCTTACACCTCCAACTCGCCTGGGGGTTGCTGAGCTCGTGGGCATCGGCAAGGCTAAGCCTGGATCGCAAGACTCCACAGGACCTTATAGACCCCATATAGACCCCCCCTCACACCGAGCTTCGGACTTGAAGAAGCGGCAGAAGCTTGCGAGCACCGCATCGACACTGACAAATGTCAGCTCCTGCCCAACACTTGTGGTCACCACTCAGAAGCCTTGGGAAGCACTTCTTGAGTGGGAGGCCGGCTGCGTGGGAGCATCCCGAAACGTCTGGGGGCTCAAAGATGGGTTTAAGTCTTCGGAGGTCCTGGAGGCCCATCCACATCTCCAGCACGGCCGGCAGCTTCTCCAAGAGTCCTCGAAAGAAATCCGAGAAAATCTGAACTTTTCAAGTTTTTCAAAGATCTCTGATCGAGTCAATTGGTGTGTAAAAGACTTGGGGCCCCGTACTCTCGATCTGCTCCGATGGCTCCGATGGCTCCGATGGCTCAAGGAGCCCCTCCCGGAGCCGCCGGCACTGCAACGAAAGCGGCGCCTCGGGCCTCAAAAGACTCGAAGACACTCGAACATACTCAACCACAACTCTGGGCCGCTTCTTTCGCGTCTCTGTTTTTTGCTGGCTTCAGGCAAGCTGTTCTTATGGTTCTTTCTCGCGGCATCCCCTTCTGCCGCGGGGCACGGAGACCACGGCGCAGCGCGTGACCAGGGCAGGCGATGCCAGCGCCAGGTCGGCGCACTCGAAGACGAAGCGCATCTCCTCTCTGAAGCACAAAAGAGAAGGAGGAAAGAGGAAAGAGGAAAGAGGAAAGAAGCTACAATAGGCAAAATGGGATGCCAAAGGGGTTGAGGCCAATCACTAGATCCTTCACACCTCGCCTGCGGCAGCTCGATGCGCTGCGCGACACCGGGGATCCAAAAGTGCCGGTCCCGGTCGAGGAAGCCGTGCAGGGCATCCGCCCAGGAGCCCAAGTCTCCATCGAAGACCAGCCAAGGAACCGAAACCTCTTGGGCTCCAACTTTGTCGGTCTCCAGGGCTGGCCCCGGTGAGGCATGGGACGCCGGAGGGGAAGGCGCCGGAGCCGGAGCCATCGGGGTCGCAGCCGTCGCAACCGTCGGAGCCGTTGCCTGCATTTGAGGCACCTGAGGCGCATGAGGCACCTGAGGCGCATGAGGCACCTCCTCCTCTTTGCCTTCGCCCTGCCAAACAAGACACCAGGTGTCAGGTGACGCACTCAAGATGTTCCCAGCTCTTCCTGCTAAACAAACACCCCCATATCAGAAGCAGACTGAATTTAAGGGGGGGGGGGGGGGTGGCTTGAGGGGGGTTTGAGGGGAGGGGGGGGTTTGAGCGCCTGCGACCGGAAGGCCAGCAGCTGCAGCAGCTGCACCAAAACACCATCTCCAGCTCCGTAAAGCTCATCACGATCGTAGCTGCTTGGATAAATCCGCTGGACGCTGGGGACCTGCACATCTCCATTGCATTGCTGTGAAGCTCTACATCTGTGTGCTTGTTACGGCGGAAAAACTCTCGGCTGGCTGCAAAAGGGGGGGAAGCAGGCCTCGACCAGCTCCCGAATCCCATCTGAGGAGATGTTTTCCGCGACGATTTCTTCCTCCTCCTTTCGGGTCGTTTGTTTTTAGGTTGCACGGTTGCACCGTGCATCTCTCTCCGGTGCTGGCTGATGCCCTTACAATGTGACAGCGCTCTAAAAGACGTGATGGGTGGGGACCGAATCAGAAACAAAGAGTCGGAAAATGCCCGGGGCAGGTCCGAAAACGGCACGGGCGAGTCAGAACAAAGACGCCCCGAGTCAGAAAACCCGAAGCGGCGAGTGGAAAATTTCGGGTGGGGCCAACCCTCAACCCTAAAAGCCCTACACCCTCAAAGCGCCAAAAGCCCCAAGAGTCCAAAAGCCCTAAAACCCTAAAAGCTAAAGCACTAGAAAAAAACTACAAGCCTAAACCGTGCAAAGCTAAACTCCAAGAGCCCTAGACCCTGAACCCGAAAACCCCCGCTAAACCCCTAAACTCTAAATATACTACGCCAGCGTGTTGTCACATTTGGCCTGGACTTTCTGACTCGGCTCCTTCCAATTTCCAACTCGACCCTCCCGGTTTTCTGACTCGGGGCCGGGTCTTTCCGACTCATGTTCCGGACTCGGGGCGTTTGCTTCTGGCACGGCCCGCGCTCTAAAGTCTCGAAAGTGTGAAAGCTCCCCAGTCCCTTCAGAGAGCACTGTGCCTCGTTGGGCTTGCGTCGCTTGTGTCCGGTGGCCTTCCTGACCCAAAGAGCAGGAAACGTGTTTCGAAGCATCCTTGCACAAGGACCATACTGCACGTGACGAGCTCCCGGCGGCTCGTGTTTGGGCGCGGGAACTGGGCTCAAAGAGTCTCTCTGTGCAACTTTGTGATTGACATACCAGAACCACTCAGAAACCACTCAGAAACCGGAAGGCCGGAAGGCCGGACCTGTCCGGAAGGCCGGGGCTGTGGCCGACGGGGTTCCGGGCAGCCTGGGTTTTCGCAGAAGCGAGGGCCCCGAGCAGTCGGCTCTTGCCGCTGCCGGCACGTCCGAGCAACACCTGAGAGACTAAGACAAAAAACCGGGAGTTGCTAACTCCCCCACCTAAGAAGAGCTTGGGGTGTGTGTAGGGTTATACAAGGCTGTGTGCCGAGCGGCCACTCCACGCTGAGCTGAAAGGGAGTCATTGAGCTTGCCCAGGGCGCCGTGCTGGAATTTACTCAGCTCCTTAGCAGCCTTGTCTTTGGAAGCTGACCTTGAAGGCTCCTTATGCTCCTCTTCCCAATTTAACGGCTGCAAGAGGAAGGTGCCACCCTGGGGCTGGAAGACCTCCAACAACTCCTCCGGGAGGAGCGAGAACGAAAAAGTTTGATGCGATGTGCATGTGGTCTCAGAGTCGTTTCGTTGCTGTCTGCACTGGAGTACCGGTGTGCCGGCAAACACCGTGGAAACTGGACCCCCCTCTTTCGCTGTAACGGCGAGATGCACTTCTACATGTCCCACCTCCAGCAAACGCGTTGACATTGACGAATCATGCAGAAGGCTGATGAATCAAACCCTCAATAGTATCTCGTTCCTCAACCGTCAGATCCTTCACAGGATCTCCACATCCAGGGACCCTCCAGACCCCTTACGCGTGCGAGGGCCGAGCAACACCGAGCATAGCGTGGGAACGCAGCAGCGGGTGCTAAAACAAGAATGCCCTGATGAATGCTTACCCGAACAGATGTGAGCGCTCTTTAGCAATGGCGCTCCCGTCGCCCCGTCCCCCCAATCCCTTTCGAGCATCCCCGCCGTGTCCCAAAAGATCCGTTTCTGATGCTCGCAGCTTGTATCAGACGCCTCTGACCACTCCTGGTGTGCCTACACTCCCTGTGCTGAAACCCTTGCATACCGCGAGACTGGCAATGTAGCTTTGAGCACACTGCGTGACAAAGCTGTCGTGTCTAGACCACGGTCTGAAAGGTCAGTGCAGTTTGAAGCGTCAGTTCCCAAACCTTGATGTTTTTGCAGCACATGTCCGCTCACAACTTGTTGGCAGCCGATTTCAGTTTCCGATTTCAAGGGTATTTCAGAATGTTAAGTTGGCGTTTTTCGGCATAATGCCCAAACATTTCGGGCCCAACCCCCTTGTGTTTCCTGTCCAGCCTTGCCACAGCCATGGCCTAGAAACAGCCCATCGTCCGGCGTCCGAAAGCTGCGTTCGGGTGGAATTTTGTTTTTTTTTCCGTTAATCCAGGTCGCTCCTCATGTTCCGACCCAGAGCCACGGCCCCCCGGCATCCCTGCACGCGCCTCCTGCGAAAGTCGGCTTGGGGATGTCAGCTTTTCTGCCTAGTTCGTGCCCAGCCTCAACACAACTACAGCCGAAAGCACATTTGGATGTGTTGTCGTTGCTCTGCACAGCTTCCACGGATTGCGGTCCCTGCTCGCTCTAAGTTTCATATCCAGCCCTCAGCTACGGTCACGACAGCGGTGTTTCCTTTTTGTGCGGCTCAAGGGGTCCCCTGACCCCAGGGAAAGGAGGCGAAGGAAAAGAAATGAAAACGAGTTGTCTGAACAATGCTGTGGCGAATTCTCACAGCTGCACACTGTTGGATTGAGACATGCCAAACACTACTTACTGCTAACTTTATGGCACAGTCTTTTGCTAGGGCATTTGGTCGCCCAAAGTTAGTGTTTATACATATATATATATATACATATATCGCTGTGTGCGCATCTCCGTACTGGTGATCGCGGCTGCCGGAGTTGTGAGCTGGCCGCCATTTGGGACCCGCTGTGCCGGTAGCATTGCTTCACCTTTCTGAAGTGGCTGCTCTTTCGGCGGGCGGGTGTTTGTACAACTGCCCGAAGCCTGAGCTTCCCGCGCTGTTACACTAGAGATGGTGATGGTGCACCTCGACGCAACTGCCTGAGCCCAGTTCGATCCTGCTGTCCTGGGTTCTGTCCTACTGTCCTGTCGTGCTGCCTTCCTTTAAAGGACCTGTCCTAGAAGCAGGCCGCGCAATGCTAAGCGTTCTGACCCGGGTGTTCGCGTACGCTGTCCACTGATTTGAAGTCCGGGTTTTGGGGACCGTCCTCGACTTCCTCCTTCTGGGAGACAAGGGGGCCCAAGCAGTACTCGAAGAGCTGTGCCAAGAGGTTTGGTTCGAAGACCTCCACGGCCAGTCCCGCCAAGCCTAGCACTCAAAAGGGTCTTCTTTTTGCGGAGGAAAGAAACAAAAGATAAGAATTTCTTCGTCGCTTTTCCTGGCCTGACCCTTCGTCGTGGCACCGCCTCAGACGCCCTGCCTGCCCAATCCAGCAAAGCAGCAAGAAGCCCGCTGCACTCTGGATTTTCTCTGGCGGGAGGGAGAATCTCAGCAATCTCTCAGTGAAAAATCTCTCGGTACAAACTTTTTTAAAGGAGCCAGACTGCCAGCATCGCCTTTTCGATCAGCACACGCAGGGCTCGAAGGCCGAAGGCTCTCGGCTCCTGAGAGGGCTCCTTAAGACCCTCTGAGAACAACAAGGTCAAGTCAAGGGGCCGTTGGGCTACGGCTAAGACGTCTCCTGCGACAGGGCGGTCCAGTGGCCCCACAAAGTGCCCACCTCAGAGAGAGAGGGAGAGAGGGAGCGGGCTTTTTGTCATATGCTTTTGTCTCAAGGGTTCCCAGTGCGGTTCCCAGTGCCAGGCTCTTCTGCCGAGATCAGGATCTTCGCTAAAGCCTCGACATGTCCAGCGAGCAATGCTCTTAAGCAATGCAAGAAGCAATGCTCTTAAGCAATGCTGAAGTGCTGCAGCGCTAAAGCAGCCCCAAAGAGGCCTTCAGCGAGGAGCAGCACTTCTGCAAGGTGCGCCACATGCGCCACGGAGGGCGTGGCAAGGCTCAGCGGCCGAAGGCAGCCCATTAGGGGCTCCGCTGTTGACCTCACTGCCCCACTCTTTTTCAAAGGCACCTTCTAAGGGCCCTTAGGCCCTTAGGCCCTTAGGCCCTTAGGCCCTTAGGCCCTTAGGCCCTTAGGCCCTTAGGCCCTTAGGCCCTTAGGCCCTTTGCTTTGCTTAGCGCAAGAAGCTGTGCAACGGCTCCATGGGATTCTACTTTCTCTCTCGCTCTGCACCTCCCTCCTCTCAGCTCAGTGGGCGCGCCAGTGCCAGTTCTTGTCGAAGGTGGCAGAAACGAAGGCACCAGGCTTCAGGGAAACCATCCTGCCTCAGGCAGGGAAAAAACTGAGCACGCTGCATTGACACCAAATCCCCTTGCAAGGCGTGCTACTACTTTTTTACATGTATGCACGCAGAAAAAGGAGAGCAGCAGCACCAAATCCCCATGCTCAAGGGAAAAGAGGTCCAACAAAGATCTCTGAAGATGTCCGAAGGCCGCGAGGGCGCGTGGCCTTGCAAGTCGAAGCTGTCGCGGCCCGCACGCAGCGCCTCCTAGAGGGATCTCTCTTGGTGGGGGCCTTAGAGGGGCCCTTCAGAGGGTTTAGGGTAGAGGGTTTAGGGTTTAGGGCTTCGGGTTCAGGGTTTAGGGTTTAGGGTTTAGGGTTTAGGGCTTTGGGTTTTGGGTTTTGGGCTTCCCTCTTTTCTCTTCCTGGGCCCTGCCGCAGGCTCTGCCTGTGTGAGGTCCGGTTGCCTATTCTTTTGTCTGCCAAACAGGCCAAGCTCATACCAGGCGAATACCAGGCTCATACTAATGCAACTACTACCACGACTACTACTACTACTACTACTACTACTACTACTACTACTACTACTACTACTACTACTACTACTACTACTACTACTACTACTACTACTACTACTACTACTACTACTACTACTACTACCACTACTACTACTCACTACGACGACGACTACGACGACGAACTTTGCCAGTAGAAAGAAATAAACAAACAATGCTCACATAAACGGATGGCTTGTTTCATAAACTACCGGGATGTCAGCCTGTCAAAACCATGTGTTTCTCCCCAGTTGTGCTTTTCACATTACTTTATTACTTTTCCGAAAATGGAGAACTACAAAATCTAAAGACACCAAAATCAAGCTACTTAAGTTCTGAAAATTCCCAAGATATTCAAGAACGAGGACGTATTCTGTCAATCTTTCAACATGAATGTAGAGGTCCAAAAGAAAAGCTTTAATTTTGAGATTGAAGACTCCTTAACGTCCTGAGAAAACGGCTTCAACGTTTGGACGATTTTCAAGACTCTGTACATTTCAAAGATGCCCGGTCTCTGAAAGTCGCTTAAACTTGCAAAGCTCCAAAGCTCAACAGAAATTAAACCACTTCAAGAAGCCAAAAAAACAAAGACGCTGATTTCAACTATTTCCCGACGCAGGCGTGCACGAATTATCCGCAAGGTTTGTAGTAGCTGTAAGCTGTAGGAGTGTATTGTTTCTAGGCGTAGCTCATGATCAACACCTACTTGTTAGAATGGCTCAAATGCGCAAACAGGGAAGAACTTGACATGCGAATGGAGTTCGGCCCGAGCCATTTAGCGGTTTACCAGAAAAAGGCCAAGCCCAACCCTACTTGGCTGAACTTGTGTTGGCATGCAAGCAAAAAGAACACACTGCAGAAGACAAACCGAAGTAAACAACAGAACCATAACGGCCTGAAACCCAGGCCGGCTTTTTCATCAAAACTTACACGCCGTCTCAAGATACCTGGCCACCATCGATAACCCGCAATGCAACACAGCTTGCTGCAAAACCACTCCAAAAAGGAGGCACCTGGCCTGCATGAGACTCGGGAGTACCCAGAGTACCCCCTATTCTAATAGTGCTACAGTGCTACCGTATGCTACAGCATCCCACAGTTGTTCGTTGCGGCTGGAGAGCGAAGACGAACCGGTGATCCGCATCAGGACAAGTGTACTGGACAGCATGGACAGGCCCTCAAGGCAGGAGCAACAGTAGCTCCAAAAGTAGCTCTCTGACGCAATGAGCACTGTAATGGAAAGAGAAGCCGCTCCGGCGGGCAACAAAACTGAATCGAGCAGCAGAAGAGCCAGCGCTTAAATGGAGTATCACAATGAAGGCTACCCCCCTTTGCACCGTCTGGGAAACAGATCATACCATACTGTACATACTGTAGAAAAAAAGCATACAGCACCCAGCAGGACCTAACACATAGCAGCACCGGGGCCAGAAATCCTGCAATGGACAAGCGATACAAGCGGCAATACCTTGCTAGCCAGGGCACAAACCTCAAGAAAGCCCCCAAAGAATTGCACAGGCACATTATCCACGGACCCCGCAGCCTTTGGCTGAACTGGCCACGCCATATGGGGAATGCGAGTGAGGCATTAAGTCGAACCCAACATGAGCCCTGCCTGGAACCTGCGGAACTGCAAGGCCCAGGTGCCTGAGATGAACAAGATGAGCCGTATGAGAACGGTTAGAACTCTTCATATTCCAGTGCATGTTGCAACCGTTGCAACCGTTGCAACGCCCTGGAGAGTCAACAAAAGCCACAAAAAGAGTCACAAAGCAAGCTCTCGAAAGCACCGAGGAACCCAAGACATCGTTTGGGAGGGCGTGAATCCCATCCAGCAATAGCCAGCAACCCTGCGCACAAAACAGGAATCTGAGCAAAGCTCTGCGCAAAGCTTTGCGCACGTCACATCGCGCTGGGACTTCCCTTCTGCCTGCTGGGCGACACCCTCCATGAACTGCGAGCTGAGGTCTGATAGCTCTGCTTGGGCTTCGCCGCAACGGTAAACCACACAGTAGGAGCCTCAGGGCGGAACGGTTAGAAAAAGTCGACGAGAGGGAAAGGTGGAGTTTTTTGTGTTGTGTGGCTTGCTGCGAGCACCACGGATTTTCACGGAGAGCCGAGCTTCGCACCCAAAGCTGCGCTCAGGCCCTTCGAAAGCTCCGTCTTCCCGGCCCCGCAGGCGCCCCCCACAGCCACGCCCAAGTGCCTTCGAAAGGCCTCAAGGAGCTCACGCAAAGACAAAATACTTATATGTGGGAGGAAAGGACGAGGAAGGTGAGAGGAAGGTGAGTTCGTTTGTGGGAGAGATCAAGAGTGACTTTTGCTTTGTGCCTGTGTGAGGGAGATCCAGCACCTCTCGCTCTCCAAAGTCATGACGAGTCTTTCCAGTGATCCCAGGTACTCGAAGCCTTAGGCGCAAACGCGCACGCGGCGCTGGCGCTGTCCAACGTTTCTCACAACGCTCTTTTTTTGGAGGCACCATAGGCAAGGCTGGCGTTCAGCTGCGAGACGGTCACCTTCATGCTGACGTCACCTGCAAGCCACGCGTAGCCTAGGCGCGCGGCGCGACTCACAAAAACAGAAAGGCGCTGCCTTTCGCTGCATCGACGGAGTAACGCAGGTGCTTCTGGAAGTCGAAGCTCTCCAGGCCCACCCCGCGCAGCTGGAGATGCCTCAGAGAAGAAAAAAGCAGCAAAGACCTTTTTTTTAACTCCTTTCATGAGCCCCTCTCTCCCCTCTCTCCTCTCCCCTCTCCCCTCTCCCCCCTCCCCCCTCCCCCCTCTCCCTCTCCTCCCCCTCTCCCCCTCCCCTCTCCCCTCTCCCCTCTCCCCTCTCCCCTCTCCCCCCTCTCCCCTCTCCCCCTCCTACACCAGGCGGCTCAAGCTGGCGCTGCTTGTCCTTGGAGGCCACGAGCAAAAGCGACGCGGCCCGGCCCGAGTGGCCGCCTGAACGGACCGCACGCTGCAGCTGCCTGGCCAAGAACAGCAAGGAACAGAGAGAGGCAGCAGGGACGAAAAGGCAGGGAGAGGCGGGGAGAGGCGGGGAGAGGCGGGGAGAGGCAGGGAGAGGGGGAGAGGGAGGAAGGGAGGGAGGGAGGGAGGAGAGAGGAAGAAAGAGAGAGAGAGAGAGAGAGACAGAGAGAGAGAGAGAGAGAGAAAGAGAGAGAGAGAGAGAGCAAAAATAAAATGAAAAGAACACACACACAAACACTCTCACAGAAAGAGAAAGAGAGGGAGAGCGAGCGAGGCACAAAGACACAGAGAACTCTCTCTCTCTCTCTCTCTCGCTCGCTCGCTCGCTCTCTCTCTCTCTCTCTCTCTCTCTCGCTCTCTCTCGCTCTCTCTCTCTATCTCTCTCGTCCCCTCTTTCCTCTCCCTCCTCTTCCCCAACAGTCTGCACAACAATCAATAATTTTGGACATCCGCTCCGCGCCCGATTCCTGCTCCATGTCACCCCAAATCTCCTGCAAAAGGCGGAAGCCTGAGGACACTAGACCACAACTCATCTTAACAAATGAACATCCTGAATTCAAGCCTTCCTCATGCTTAAGTTTCCTCATCTTTACTGATCACCCTGTCCAGAACTTGCCGCCGTCGACAACGTCCAAAGCGTGGGTAAGGCGTTTGATTGCTGATTCCTGGTTTTCGATAGTATATGCTTCTAACGATCACATATGTATGTTTCCCTTTTACCTTTCTGAGGCTAACCTCTATCTCAGCTCCATCCAGTTTTTTTTAGCAGTCTTCGGCGGCGGCAAGCGACGTTCTACCGTAGTTCTACCTTCCTTTTGGTTGAGCGGCCTTGCTCTTTGTATCCTTCCAGCACACGTACTAATTAATGTACTTCTAAAAACAGCTCCTACTCGATACATCCTTCGCATCTCAGCTAGTAGGCGCATATACAAAGCGCTGCCTCGCCAGAATATCTCTGTGTGATACGCTCGAACTCCTTACTCCCTTACTCCCTTACTCTCTCCCTCACTCTCCCTCACTCTAACTCTCTCCCTCACTCTCTCCCTCTCTCTCCGTTGGAAGTCAGGGCAGCTACAGTAACCCTACCAACTTAAGGCTAGGAAAGTAATGGAAACTACCAAGCCCACAACCCTCACAAGTCAAGTAGCTAGCACACTTTTCTCTCACAAGCGAAAGACGTGCTTCGGAAGCTCGTGGCCTTGAGCCTTGAGCTGAGGTTTCTTGAGCCAGGCTCCACACTTGAGCCAAAGAACGAACATGGCTTGAAATACTTTCTGCAGGCTTCCATGCAAGCTGAGGTCCTTCGGGAACAAAAGCAAGACTCCCTAAACACACTCTAGCCTTACCAAACTCTCAGCAGACCTGCTCTACCAGCTGTCTACAGTTGCCTACACTTGCCTGCGGGCAAATGGCACTGCACCTCGAAGAGAAAGCAGTTGTCCTACATACTTAGGCTTCGAAAACGAACGGACAACGTTCGAACGACAAACGAACGACTTTCACCACAGTTCAAACACTATGTACATGCACAGCACACCTACTTTGAAGTTCAAATCACCATCGAAGCATGCTCAAGCAATGCCAGGCAATTCCAGACCGTAGATCTGGTGGCACACCCTCTAAAATTGGGATTGAAAGTTAAGTCTCTCCCTCTCTCTCCCAATCTCTCCCTCTCTCTCCCTCTCTCGCTCTCTCTCCCTCGCTCTCTGTGGGTCCTCACCTCAGCTGCAGGGTGCTGTGCCAACGCTGGAGGTGCTCCTCACAAGGAGGCTCTACGGGGAGAATCGCGCAAAAGGCGAGAAGAAAAAGAAAAAAAACCAAAAAACCCTTGAGACTTGGGGGGGGGCTCTCCTTCACGCCCGCTTCTCGGCTTGTGGACCAGGACCTCTCTTTCTCAGAAAACAAAAAGGCTCTTTCGCTGCAAGAGGGCTGGGAGAGCATTCAGAATTTCAGAAGGCTCTGTTAGGCTCCGAGCTCCTGGAGCGCCATCGTCCAGGCGACTTGCCACGCCACATGCACGATCTGACACAGCCAACAAACTGAGAGAGAGAGAGAGGTTTCAGAACGACTGCAGAGAAGGTGCCCCAAGGACGGATCAAAGTCAGGAAGACAGGAAGACAGGAGCCTGGCTTGGGAGGTCCACGGTCACGGCCCATTCGTCGGCATTCCCTGCAGCGGCCTCCACTTAAGACTTAAGCCCTCTCAGACCGTCACAGACTCTGAGAACCTTTCTGAGAACCTTTCCCACATCCACACGGCGCCTCCTCGATGGCCCCTTTCAGGAGCTGCCGGAAGGCCGCACCGATGCCCGCCTGAATCGCTTCCAGCGTCTGCTCCGGACCCCGGAGCTTCACCTGCCAAGGAGAGCGTTCAGAAGCATCAACGAACCCTGCTTTTTGCATAAAACATGACGAATCATAAAGATGATTCTTAGAATGATATAAAAATATATGAAATGAATGAAGCAATGCAGAGACGCAATATGCATGAAGCATGACGTGCCGATCTAGCTCTTGCTCCTTGACATGTACCATCCCCCGACGCTCCGCCCTGCGCCACCCCCAGAATCACAGTCTAGGACACGGCGGAGATGCGGTCACGGTGCCGCTCTTTTGCCTTTTCTTCATGTGCTTTCTGCACCCAGGTGCGCATGAGCTGCAAACATGAAGGCGACGCGACCCAGCCCCCTGAATTGGTGGAAGATGTCCCTTCGAGAGGTCGCGGCTTGGAATCGAAGCCACATCCCTTGGAGGCGACACCATCTGCACTTGCATCCTTCTGAACCATGGCGTGGGCAATCCCCACATGGCGCATGGCTTGCTTCTTGTGAAGACCCTGAAAAACCGGCCCGTGTCTCCGTGTCTCTGACAAGCTCGGCCTGGACCCCCCCAAAAGGAGAATTCAGTCCCAGCAGCGCAGAAACACTCTGCAGGATGCCGCTTCCCAGTGACAGGGTGGAAAAACACGTTTTTTGGGGCGCAAACCAAACCAACGCTTGCACCGAAGCAGCGGGACGACAGCTGCTAAGCGTACGAAAGACTTACGAGGGATACTGTAGTATCCTACAGCGTGTGAAAAGATATCCATATATGTATATATATATATATATATACATATATATCTATCTATCTATGTACATGTTTATTTGTTTGTGTATTTATTTATTATGCTAAGAGTGGCTTGAGAGCAGTCGCCTTGGCAAGGAGGGGCAGGCGCTCTGGCCACTCCCTCGAGGACAGTATGGCAAGCACCGAGGCATCTTCCAGCTCCAAGGAGCCCACGCCTGCCGAAGCGAATATTGAGACTCGATACCTTGGAAAAGGGTAAACTATCATACGATCTCGTAGACAATTTAGTAGTATGCTAGGTAGACTATGCTACATAGATCTACATAGCATCGTTTTTCCATATGGGATTTCCGGGAGGGGGGGGGGAGTGCTCGCGGTGCCGGAGGCCTGGAAAGCACTGCCGAGCCAGGAGCTCCATGGCTTTTGGAGAGCTGCGCTTCCCAAACGAACGGAGGAACCGCAGGAGCTCCGTGTCGGAGAAGAAGAAAAGCCGCGGGAAGCTCTGCCGCCTGAGGCGATGGCAGATGGCAGCGGACTCATGATGCATATCTCGAGGCCCGAGGCGCTTCGTGACCAGGAACCCTTCCAGGTCCCGGAGGATCGTGTCCATGGTCTCACGGGGCTTTCAAAAAAGGCACGGCCGAAGCATAGTGTACACAGTGCAATGGCAAGCGTGCAAGCGAGTGTCCACAGCACACAAAAACATGGAGGGCACTGATCAGGCACCCCGTTTCACCCCGCTTCACCTCCCCCAGCTGGCGCAGCGTCTGCAGGTTCTGCGGGTCAAGGGCCAGGTCCACCACCTGCGGCCGCTGCTGCAGCCGATGGAGCAGCGCCTCCCCAGAAATGAGCGATATCACAAGAGAGCTGAAAAGCCAGGAGCGGGCCTAGCTTCTAAGGCCTCTTGCTTAAGGCTTATGTTGCTTAAGGCTTTTTGCCCGCCAGGAGCCTTCCACGTGCTGTCCACAGGCTGGAAAGCGAGGAACTCGTTTGGGAGCTGGTTCTGGAGCTCCGTCGAAAAGGTGGCATCGAGGTGGCTGTGTCGGCGCTGACAATTTCCAATCTCCTCCAGGAGCTCCTGAACCTTGTCGAAGCGGCTTTGCCAGAGCTTCACCCGGTCCAAGTGCACTTCCGCAAAGCGGGAGGTGCTGGACCCCACCACGGCCAGGCCATCCTGCAGCTGCTCCTGCAAGCCCTCCAAACTCCCCACCACCAACCCCCCACCCGCGCCGCTGGCACCGCTGGCGCCGGTGATCGGCAGATCCAGGCGGCCTGGAAAGCAGAAGGAGGAGGAGGAGGAGCAGAGGAGAAGGGGAGAAGTTTAAAAGAAGCGGGCTGTTGCGTGGGCCGAGGGCCGAACTCCAGGAGCGCGTCAGGTTCTCCAGGGCGACCTCCACGTAGTGCTCCTTTACGAGGGCAGAGCTTGCGAAACGAGCTTGAGAAAAGGGAGCTCTTCAACGGTAGGAATTCTCTCAAGAAAGGCACAGTGAAAGGGTCTCTTTTTTTGTTGCTTGTTTGTATTTGTGCTCTCCTGCGTGGCCCGTCGTGCCACGGTCAGGAGCCCGGCCATGTGCTTGGTGAGGTTCCAGGCCGCTGCTTGGCCAAAGGCCAGCTGCGGCCGGCCGAGGTGACTGACGCTGAGCTTGACGTCCAACGTCACGCTCAGCTCCTTCCAATGCCGGCCCCGTAGATGCTCGTTCTGCAAGACCTGGAAGCAGGGGCTCATGGAAAAACTCCCAGTATTCCCCCATTCTCCCCAATCTCTCCAGTCGACTCCCTTTCCCAAGTCCCCCTTTCCTCGAGCACGGGGACCAGGTCCTGCATGTACTTGAGCCTCAACAGCCAGGCAGATTTGCACAGTCTGTCTTAGAGATAGTGAAGGGGAGGAGGGACAAGTGGAGAGAAGTGGAGGAGGAGGGAGGCGCGGAGTTTTCTGGGCATCGGCGCTGGTGCGTGAGCTCCTCGAAGACGTCGTTCTCGGGGAGCTCCTGCTGGGCCTGTTCTGCCTGGGCCCAGAGCCCGGTCACCTCGGCTGCTTTCTTGGGCCTCTTCTTGCACCATCTTGCACCTTCATTGCATTTGTACCTTTGTGTTTGCGTTTCCGTGCGGCTCGCCTCCTTCGAGACCATGACCAAGTCAACCAGCAGCAGATCCTGAACGCCCACGCTTGCGCAGTATGCTCAGTATGCGCCGGGCGCACCAGATGCAGCCTCTGCAGCCTCCCCCACTTCCCCAAAACTCCAGCCGAAGTACCGATGGCAACCACTCGCAGCCTGAGGAACGTGTGCCGCGGCTGACATGAGCAAAATGGTGCTGACAGCCTAAAGAGATGAAAATATGTGAGAAATTCAGGAACGCACAGCCTTGAGTCTTTGAGCGTCTTAAGCTGGGGTACATTTGTCCTGCCAGTCTGCAAAGGTCTTCCAAAGATCCAGTCGCCGCTGCAGCTGAAGCCAGGCATCTTTCAGATCCTTCTTCTTTAGAGAGAGAGCACTCTCCAAATGGTGTGCACTCAGCACTCCAACACACACGTCCCGAAAAAGACAACAAACAAGCAAACAAGCAAGCAAAGCCTGTGCACATGTTCGGGTCCAAGAGGCCGGCACAACCAGTCCGTCACCTCGCAGGACCGCCTGGGACGGGAGGACGGGAGGAGTCCTGGGACTCCCTGGGCACCCAGATCTCTAGGAGAATGTGTTTTGCAGGTGTCCTGGTAGTGCTCGTAGCGGTCGTGGTCTGCTTGGAGCTGACGCAGCGCACCACGCAAACGGTCCAAGTCGCTCAGCTTTCCCTCCACGTCGAGTACCGACCTCGGCTCAGGAGCGGTGTTTTCCTGCACACGGATTGCACACGGAATGCTCCGCATGGCTCAGCATGGCTCAGCATGGCTCAGCCCAAAAAATCAGTCCGGGCTCCCGGCCCCTTTCCCGCAAACTCCTCAAGGCATGGCTCTGCGCGCTCGAAATGTCGAATTTTCTAACTGGACAAAGGGTTCTTTAATGCGTGCTCTGTGCTCTGGCCCTGCTCTGGGCCGCAGGCTGGAACGAGACCCTCTTCCAGAGCTTTGGACGTCAAGAACCTGAAAGTCGCTTCTGGGCGGAGGAAAGCACTGAAGACTCTCGCCTGGGTCAAAGGCGTGTCTGATGGCAGCTGCAGGAGCTCCGGATCACGCACCTTGTCCTTGGCGAGAATCCCACTGCCTTATAACTGCCTTATACTGCCCTGTGGTGCATGCTTGCACAACTTCGCGCCCACCTTGGCTTATCATGGCAGGCTCAAGGGGCTGTGGGGATGAGCCGAATCGCTTGAGGCGCGAGTTTGGGGGCGAGGGGTGTGGACACTGTGGACCATTGTGGACTCCAATTGTGGACCATTGTGGACCATTCTGGACCCATGGACTGTGCAGGAGTTCGCGTGGAGGAGGGGACGTGCACGAGATCCTGGCGTGGACAGTGGAGTGCAAGATGGGGAGAGGGGGGGGGGTTGATGACCCAGGAGTCCGCCTCAGCAGGCGGACTCCGTTTGCATGTTCTAAAGATCCTGCAGTAGTTTTGGGCTCTACTTGTGTTGTGGGCATGAAGAGCGCAGAAATGGAAGTCTCTGTTTCTTTTGAGACGAGAAGAGGGGGGGGGGCCTCCGAGACGAAGAGGGCCAGCTTCGCCTCCAAGGCCGCCAATTCCACCGCGAACTGCTCCAGGAATGCCGGCCGAAGCTGCGAGACCTCTGACTGCACTTTGCTTTTTTTGAAAGAGAGGGTTTATTACCTACGGTTTAGGGTTTAGGGTTTGGGGTTTAGGGTTTAGGGTTTAGGGTTTAGGGTTTAGGGTTTAGGGTTTAGGGTTTAGGGTTTAGGGTTTAGGGTTTAGGGTTTAGGGCTCTCAGCTCCCACCTGCTCCTCCTTGCTTGAGAAGACGGTCTGGAACACGGTGAAGGACCGCGGCATGCCCGACACTTTGGTGCGCAGCGTGGTGCTCATGTACACCCTGCGAGCCAGAAGGGAGACGGGAAGAGAGAAGAGAGAGCGGTAGGAAGAGCTGAACGCAAAGAGAGAGAGAGAGAGAGAGAAAGAGAGAAAGAGAGAGAAAAAAAGAAAAAGGAAAGTGTGAGGGGGAGAGCTGAGAGAAGGGACAGGACAGAGAAGGGGGTGCAGAAAGAAAGAGAAAAGGCAGAGGGGGGAAGGGGGGACAGGTGAACGCGCGAAGCCCCAAAAAGAGCCTGTGCTCGTCCAGGATATCGTGCAACGCCTGCATCCGTTCCAGGAGCTCGTGTTGGCCCTTCCAGCCCTCCTGCGTCTCCTAGCAGAGATGCAGAGATGCACTCCTCTGAAACCTATTTCCGCCTCTGCTCTTTTTTTTGCAGTGGTCAGTAGCCGATCGCGCGACATGAGAAAGTGTCAGTCTGCTGCATCCACAAAAATCTGAGCTCGCGCGTCCTCCAAGGCAAGCAAGTCAGATACAAAGTCGGCCACAGATGTCGGCTCCTTCGACAGTTGCCTCTGGAGACATGCAGCATGGGTCAAGCCGACAGCTGCCGTAGCTTCCCTGGCCCCGAAGCAAAAAAATGCAGCACCCACATAGTGTAGACTCTGTATATACTGCACCAAAGAATATGCCGTGTACTGTACTGGGCTGTACTAGGTTAGAGTTGGAGGAGTTTGTAGACTCGAATTATGATCTACGCGAAGTCGCGAAATCCATGCGCAGGGCAGTGCGGTGCCTCGTCTTGCCACCGATCCACTGCGAGAGGCCCTCGGCACAGGCCAGGACCACCTGAGAACGGACATGCTGCGAAGACCCTGCTATAGTATGCAAGTGCAAACAACGCATCTGTTTTTTGGTCTCTCTCTCTCTCTCTCTTTTTTGTTGTCACGTGTTCCTTTACTGTCTTTAGCGTATGCTCCAGCATCTCCACGCAAAAGAAGAAGGTGCGTGGCGCGCAAGAGAAGTCTCTCTCTCTCTCTCTCTCGCTCTTTTTGTCTGTGCTTTCTCTTGCTTCCTTTTTAAGTTTGTGTGTTCTCTTTTGCTCTTCTCTCCTTCTCAGCTGCCTCTGGGAGCTGCTCCGTCAGCTCCGCCAGACACCTCTGCAGAAAGAAGAGAAACCCACCCCGAATCAAAACACATCAAAACACAATTTTCGTAAACTTTTCTTTGAGGAGAAGAGGAGGATCTTCTTTCAAAGAGGGCAGTCAAAGAGGGCAGAATGGGCATGATCGCATCTTTCTCTCTTTGCCCGGCCTTGCCGGGGCCTCCTTCAGCTCGGCAAGCATGGCCGCGGTCCTCAATCTCGCTCTAACTCTTAAATCTAAAGAGAAGAAGAAGTTGAAGTTGAAGAAGTTGAGGATTTGAGAGAAGTTGAGGATTGAGAAGTGAGAGTGCTCCAAGAGAGCAGACTCTTCCTCAGCCGAGCTGCTCAATCTCCAAGGGCCGCAAGAAGTGGCGGCTGGGCAGCTTGTCGAAGCTCTGCAGACCTACAACAAACTCGAGCGATGATTTGCTTTTTGTTGCGCCCCTCGGAGCTTTCGGAAGCTTTGGCCTTCATTGTACTTGTTCAGAAGCTCGGCAAAGCCGGACGTGTGTCCAGAAGCCCACAAACGCTTGATCACATCTGGGATCACGGTGTTCTGGCACTCGTAGCACCATCGCAAATTCTCATCGAGGACCCGCAGCCTTGGAGCTTATTTTGCGGGGGAGCCCCGAAGGGGGTGGGCCCCGGAAGACTGCGCGCGCCGACAGGGGTGCTCTAAGCTGTGCATCAGCGCATCACAAAAGATGGGACAATAGGGGACAGCCCAGCGGCTTGGAGTCGGCCTCCCGGTATGCTGTCCTGGCCCACTGAAAAGAAGACGAAAACGAACTGCAAAATCTTCACAGCAATCATGAACTTCATGATACTTCAATCGCTCTAACCCCTGTCTCCGTTCTCTCCTCAGAGTTTGCGCCAAGCGAAGGCAGCTGCGCTGCCACCCGGCCTCCAACCAATAGGCACTCTGGGGAGAGACAGTCACCGAGGTTCGAAGAGATGTGTTCACTAAGCTTTACTGTACTTAAAACACTGCTCCTTCCTAGCTACCCACCTCGCCCAACGAAATCACGATGGAACGGTCAGGAGACTTTTGCTGTGAAAAACGTGGACTTTGAGGGGCAGGCCGGTGTTGTGGGGCATGTTTGCTTTCTCCGAGCCGAAGGATCTTCTATCCGCCAACCTGCACCAGCTCCCTCCTCACCCGACCGTCCTGGCTCTTGCATGCTCGATCCTTCCTCACACCTGGCGCTACGTCATCCAACAGCCAGAGCTGATTAATCGAGGAGAAGGGAAAGAAGATGCTGACAATGATACTTGTGATGGTGATGGCGCTGGCGGTGGCCATGATGACGGCAACGGTGACGATACTGGTAATGACGAAAGTGAGGACTCCATACGGCTAAAGCCAGTGTTGTTCATGATACGCAAGCGAACATACGATGACACAGGTCAAGAAAATGATGTTGTTGCCGCCGCCGCTGCTGCTGCTGCTGTTGTTGCTGTTGCTGTTGTTGTTTCTGCTGCTGTTGCTGTTGTTGCTGTTGTTGCAGTTGCTACCGTCGTTGTCATTGATGACAGTGAGGACAACGCGCAGATGCAATTTGCATTCATCGTACAGATGAAGATGTTGATGATGGTGAAGATGATGTTGTTGTTGAGGATGATGGCACAGATGAAGGCGACACAGGTGATGGTGATGGCAATTGTGGCGATGAGAATGAAGTGACAGGCAATCTGTTGGCCTTCTAAGATTCCTTGAGGTGTAGAGAAGGCGCTTTTGGGGTTCTGTCAAGTGCACGGAGAAGCACTCAGAAGGTGCACAGGCTCTCAGCCCTAGCGTCTGCGTCATCGCCCCACCTCACCACCCTCCAAATCACCCAAACCACCCTTAAAACAACTCAAGCCTAAGCTCCAGAGTTCGTGATGCGCGCTGAGTGAAAGGGCAAATGGTCCTCTCCCCTCCACGACAATCCCTTTGGCCTGGCCGCGCAGGCGCTCGAAGAGCGCATCCGGCTCCCTCTCCTCCTGCGCCTCCTTCAAAGGAAGCGTAATCTCCCCCAGGGCCGTACTATTTGGAAAAGGTGGCATTGCTGAGGGTGCAGACGTGCGAACACTCGAAGAGAGTTCAAAATCTACACCACACAATATACTCTTTTTTACTAGAGTAAACGACAGTATACGACAGAATAGTCCGAGAGCAAACTCTAGTATAGTACTCAAGCTTTCTAAGCGTATGCTATGACCTTGATTCCGCCTTCAGGCTTTTGGACTCTCAATTTTTGAGCGCCCCGCCTCCGCCTGCGCATCCAGGCTCTCGGACCGGACCAAGTAGCGATGTGCCGCCATGTCCTCGAAGCAAGCAAGTGCAAGTGCAAGTGCAATCAAGCAATCAGAGCAGGTCGCACGATATAGAGTCGATGAGTCTAGGCAGGGGGCTGGTGACGCGTAGTTGCGGGTGAAGAAGGTGGCCAGGTTACAGCCATGCCGCAACCAGCTGATGAATTCTTCCTGCAATTCGGCATCACTGGGGCACCTTAGAGCAGGCCAGCACGCCCAAAAGGTGCCTTGCTTTGCTGGGCGAAAGGCCAAAGCTAATCAGCCAAGGAGTCTTTTCAGGAGATTTTAAAGTTTTTTTAAGTTTCCTTTCTCTTTAAAAAGGGGGGCCTCTTTGTGACTCTGGCAAGCGGCAGCTGCAAGGCCAGGCTCTTGGCCACATGGTCGGGTCTGGACATGGAGGTCACTTTGAGGACCAGCGAGCCATGCCTCACTCCCCGAAGTGAACAAGCAACTTTTTCCCGCAAGTCTCATACTGCATTCTCTCTCTCTCTCTCTCTGTGCCGCTCTTTGCCGGCTGAGGCTCCCGTCGTCTCGACCTCAGCAAACCGCGTGTGCAACATGCCAATCTCACACCGGCACCCCTCCGCACCCTGCATCTCGCGCCTTCGTCTGCAGGAGCGATGCTCCGCACAACTTCGGCAATGGAGCCTTGCATGACCTCCACCTGCAGGAAAACCAAGGCCAGGACACAAAAATGGCAAGATCCTGTAAGCGGCTGTAGCATGCTGTAGCTTCTCTTTAGGCGGCTTGGCTCTCTCCTCTCCTCTCGACCCCGCCAGGCTCTCGTTGCAGATCAGGTCTACCAGCCGTGCAAACCGCAGCAGCCGCTCGCACTCGTGGCGCAGGCGGGAGCGCTGCGCGAAGCTCACATCCTCTCAAGGCGGCGAGACATGCACTCCCTCTCCTCCTCCTCCTCCTCCTCCTCCTCCTCCTCCTCCTCCTCCTCCTCAAGCTCCTCAAGCTCCCTCGACTTGTTCCTACTCCAAACGTGAGTTCAAAAAGGTGTGTTAAGTTGCCCTGAAACCTTCCCTGAGAGCTTCCCTGAAGGAGAGTCCTTGGAGAAGCCCAGGCGCTCGAGGGCCTCGCTGTCCTCCCAATCCATGCCGGCTCGGACGATGGCCGCCCCCGCCCGCCGCCCCTCGAAGGAGTCGAAGGAAAGAAAAAGGAACACCGAGCAAAAAAAGGAAAGAAAGATAGATTTTGAACCCAGAAAAGGAGGGAAGAATGGCGAGGCCGTGAAAGAGGCTGCCGGCTCTGCTCTGTGCGCCGCGCGCTCACCAAGATCTGCCGCGTGAACTCGCTGCTGTCGGTCGCCTCCCTGCGCACCTGCCAGGCATGCCAGGCATGCCAGGCATGCCGGGGCAGGGGCAGGAAACGCTTGTAGATGCTGCACAACGCGATGGAACGCTCCTGGTCGATGACGAGGGCCAGGATCTGGGAGACTTCCTGAGCGACAGAAGTCGTGCAGGCCAATGAAGGAAAGACTAAGGAAGGCTACATCACAAGACCATTCGGCCAATTTGGCCAAGGCATCCAGCTTCACCTTTGCCGCCTGGTGGGCAGCACGTTGGAAGAGGTCATGCTGCCAATTCCTTCAGCGTGTGAATTTACACTGCAGCTGGATCTGCTCAAGAAAAAGAGCGGCACATGACATCACAAAATGTCGCCCGAGACGCCGCTGCGCAACTTGGAAATCCGCCAGTGTCTGAGGCTGAGGGAAGTGACATCGCAGGCATCTCAAGTTGGCAACATCTTGGAAAATCTCGCGCAAAGCAAAGTAGGTCGCACCTTGCTCTGCTGATCACAAGGAACCGACTCGCAAAGATGTGTGACATGCTTGTGACACATTCTGTGGTCACAGATTCGTCACTCTGGGGACCTGGCGGAACCAGGGGTGCAGAAAGAAGACGCGGTCTTCCAGGACTCGGCCGGCTTTGGTCATCCGGCCCCACCTCCCTGCATTTCGCCAGTGCAAGAAGGATTTCCGGACGGGGAACTCCCGGAAGAAGCGGAGTCTTCGCAGAGATCGAAAGAGGCGCCGCTCTTGGAGCCAGTGAAAAAGGCTCACAAAGGACACAGGCGTGCCACCGACGTAGTGCGACATCCCCGCCGGGCTGACGGTCATGTAGCTCTCCAACGACACCTCCCGGAAGGGCACCAGCTCCAGGTCGTAGGCGCTCTCCCCAGCAACTTGGCGCACGTACACGAACTCCTTCCCCAGCGTCTCCTCCCTCTTCTCGGCCCCCCTCAAAATCTCCAGGAAGATGTCGAAGGGCCTTGACCCCGTTTCCTGTCAGACCAATTCACCTCTGTGCTTTGCATTCCATCTTGCATCTCACATGTCAAATGAACACGGCATAGAGACAGTACTATGGTAGCGCCTCCTCCACTTCCGGGTCGATTCTGCTATCGCATGCGTCCCTCATCTCAAATGTTCTGAAAAAAAACAACAAAACCTGCACAACACCATGACACAAACATCAATTTGCAGCTGTGGCACACCGAGGCCTGGGAAGAAGGGTACGCCTCTAAGCAGGCCCCTTTGTTTTTCTGTTACGAACTTCATGAAAGTGATGGAAGCTGCATGTCACAGTGCATTGCCTGTGCCAGCGGCGGCAAGCTAGGGCCAGCCCGGCCGGGCCCGGCCGGAGAGCTGGCTGGGATTGCAGACCCGGCGGACGCGGGCCGGGTCGTTCTACCCGAGAACTTGTCCAAGAGCCGCTGCGCATCGGCCACCTGAAGGGCGCTCCAGGCCTTCGCTTCTTCCTTTTCCCGCCCCTTCCCTTTTTTCTGCCCTGTTTCTGCCGTCGTCTGCTGTCTGCTCTCTCGCCCTAGGACCTAGGAAGTTTGGCCTTGAGGTCCAGGGCGCCACCGCTCGGGGCCGAGGCGGCGCTGGAGCGGCCGCGGCTCGACCAAGGGCGCTGTCTGGAGAGGGAAGAATATGTAGAAGGAAATAGAAAGAACAACAAAAGACAAAAAAAAAACAGAACAAAAGCCCACAAGGACGGAGCCTCCTTTCTCCCATTTTTCCCCAGTTTCCAAACCACCCGCCTGGGTGAGGGAGGTTCCGGCTCCTCATACAGTCGCCTGACGCTCTCAGTGCCCTCGGCTCCGTTTCACAGCTCTGGCATTTCGGCATCTTTCACAAGGCAAGGATCAGATCCCCAGGCCTTCGCAATTGAGACCGCGACTGCATGGCTCCATCACTGTTGAAAGGAAACACCAGAACTACCTACACTACCTACATCCATGCAAAACTGCAGTTCCGCCCTCCCCCTCCTCTTTAACCACCTGTTGGCGTATACTTGCAGACACTCAACCTGCTTGTCGAATCACCTTGGAATTCTTTGCTGTTGTGTACTATAGTATACGGTCAGCAATGGCTAAAATCATGCTCTGCTATTTCCGAAGGTCGATGTTGGCACCGAAGCAGTGTTCAAGAGAGATGGCTGCTGATGAAGAACAAGGCAAGGCGAACTCACGGGCGAAGTGACAGCGCCTACAACATGTACGAGGCTCAGACTTGATTCTACCGCGATTAAACCTTACGTGGCGCCTTGCGAATCCCCACAGGCTTCAAAGCTACACCGAGATCTATGCCAAATTAAAGCTTCAGTTGTTTGCATCCGAGTTGATCCCAAACTTGTTAGGGTCTGTTAGGATGAAGACAGTTCACAAGACGTCGGGCACCCTTCTTCTTCTTCGCCGTGGCAAAATTTTCAAGACAACTCGGATGCAAAAAAACTTACCCAAACTTTTCTTCCAAACCACTTCCGCTTTAAACCACAATCAACACGTTGACCGCTGGCGCAATTTTCAAAATACCTAATAATTATCCGTCAGCTTTCACAAAATTGTAGATGGTGACCCGCTGGTCATACAATTGTGGGAATGACAAAAGAACAGGGGAAGGTATCTCGAATATTTCGCAGACTCAAACCAATTACTCAAGCGTTGGCCACGGGCCCCAGCAACCTTGGCCCCAGCGTAAAACAGCAGCATTCCAATACTAAACAACACAGTTAACACAACTCTGGACGCCTCGGGTGCCAGCAGCTTACCTCTTTCCACGACCCTAGAAGTCATGCTAACATGAACAAGCCGCGTTTGAGCATGATATGCTAGAAAGAACCGTTGAAACGGAGTCTTGTGAACGTTGAACTCCATCTGTGCCAACTGAGCCAGGCCATCGTTTATGTACACACGTACCGTTTTGTCGGAGGACCATCGGCCCAGAAGGCGAAGGTAGTCGAGTCTGGGATTTTTGCTGAAATACATGGTCGCGCCACCTCTTCCTAAACCGTAGGGTCGAAAGCCCCAACTTTCCATTGACAAGGCTCGTAGGGCCTCATCAAAAACCTTTCGAAAGAGATAATCAGACATGGCAATGAGT